CAGCCCCCAAGCGGACCAAGGTCGAGGGTGACGATTCGGCTATTAACTTCCAGGCACCTGGGTTCAACTCCCCATCTGCTGCAACCCATGGTCCAATCCGCACTAGTGGTGGACCGGGGCTCACTAAAATGCAACATAAGTTCATTTCAAAGAGCCTTACAAGCCTCAAGCGCATGCACGATGCGCGTTTCTACAAGGAACCTGTGGATGCTGTCAAGTTGAACATTCCGCAATACCACACTATTATCACCCAACCGATGGACCTAGGAACTATGGAAAGGAAGCTCAAGAACAACCAATATTCTTCTCCCCAGGCCGTCGCAGATGATTTTGCACTGATGGTCAATAATACGATGGTATTTAACGGTGCAGATCACCTGGTCACTCAAGAGGGGATCAAGCTGAAGGCGACATTCGAGAAGCAGATGACTAATCTCCCTAAACCCGAAGAAATGGAAGAGAGGAAGCCAAAGAAGAACGCCGAGAAGACGTCTGCCGCTCGCCGGGAGCCTCGGACTTCTCTACCAAGTCAGCCCAAGGCTGCTTCTCCCCAGTCTCAGACATTTGCACTAGGACCCGAAGGCCTTCCCGTCATCCGGCGCGATTCTTCCAACCCCGATGGTCGTCCAAAACGGTCCATCCATCCCCCAAAGCGTGACCTTCCGTATTCTACCAAGCCAAAGAAGAAGAAGTTCCAATGGGAATTGCGCTTCTGCCAGGAGGTCTTGGATGAGTTGCACAAGCAAAAGCACTACAGCTGGGTCATGCCTTTCTATTATCCCGTTGACCCCGTGGCTTTGAACATTCCCACATACCACAGCGTCATCAAGAAGCCCATGGATCTGTCGACTGTTCAATCCAAACTTAAGACTGGACAGTATGAGAATGCAAAAGAGTTCGAGAACGATGTCCGCCTCATTTTCAAGAATTGTTACCGCTTCAATATCCCCGGTGACCCTACTTACATCTGTGGCCAGCGGGCTGAAGAAATCTTCAACGGAAAGTGGACCCAGAAGTCGGACTACCTCGAAGCGCATGAGCCACATCCCGAGCAGAACACTGATTCTTCCGATGAAGACAGCGACGAGGATGCAGAGGAGAGCGAAGAAGATGACGAGAAACTCACCCTGCTTCAGAAGCAGATTGCCGAGATGTCTCGTCAGGTCGAGGCTATTACCAATAAGAAAAAGAAGACACCTCCTTCATCCAAGAAGGTTGGCAAGACGAAGCTTGCCAAGAAGGATTCCAAGAAGATCAGCTCTGGAAAGAGAGACAAGAAGAGCAAGGTCTCTCAACCCGGCAAAACCCGCGCCATCACCTACAGCGAGAAGCAGATCATCTCGAATGGTATCAGTAGTCTTCCTGATAAGAAGATGCAGCAAGCCCTCCAGATCATCCAGAACAATGTTCCTCAACTCAAGGTATGATTTTCACGCGCTTATCACACAAACAAATTCTAATATATGTTTCGCAGGGTACCGATGAGGCCGAAATTGAGTTGGACATCGACGAACTCCCTAACGATGTGCTGCTGAAGTTGCTCAACTTCGTGAAGAAGCACGTGCCGAATCTCATGGATGATGAAGAGGAAGAGGATGTCACCGCCAGCAATGTGGCACCTCCCAAACCCAAGAAGAACAAGCCAATGAGCAAGTTCGAACAGGAAGCTCAGATCAACATGCTCCAAAACAACCTTTCTCGTTTCCAGGGTGGCGCCCACTCTCCCGATCCAGTAGCCTCGGTTGAACGCAACGAAAGCAGCGATGATGAGTCTGATTCGTCCGAGGAAGAGAGCGAGGAGGAGTAAACATACTCTTCCAACTCAATCCCGCCATTCTTTTCCCCGTACGGATGATGACCCTTCACCCTGACTTGCGTTCTAAGCGTCGTTTTCCCCCAGTGCCTATCTGAACAATTTCTCGCCATATCTTTCTTTTTCAGTCACATCGCTGATCCTGACGGGCTGCTTGCAATGCGCTAAGCAATCCCCCGCCAGCAACGTCTGTACATATTTTGATTTTGAATACCCCTGCACCCGGGCAAGGTTTCTACTGCCACTGACGAACCTTGCGCTCAAGATTGGCCGAACAGGATTTTATTCACTTAACCACTTGAATTTCCCTTCCTCTACGCCTGAGTGTACACTTTTCTCCCGTTTCGTTTCACAGTCAGGATAGGTGGATGGGGTTGCTCTATTTTCCCCGACGACGTTGCGGTTGGAAGAGGTGAACCGAAGCTTTTGGCTTCAACTTGTATGATTACGAAAGAAACGCGGAAATGCAAAATGAATATGTACTTGTAATAGTAAGGAAGGTATCTGATTTCAATGTTTTTATTAAGTATGTAGTTTGAATGTACGGAGTACGAACTATTGTATTGCGAACGACCTCTCTTAATCCGTCATTGGTCGTGACGCGTCGGGTCTACTTCAGCGTTCGGGTTCGGCGGTGAACTTCCCTAGTTTCTTTACAACATCAACATGATTCCTCCCTGTGACCCCTCAATTCTTGAGCACAATCCTCAATTCAAACGACTATATGAGAATCTGACAACCTCCCTCCTTAATCCGGATGCCTCAACGCGTGCTCATAGCGCAAGCCCAGCCCGCACAGCTGTGGTGGAAGTAAGTTGGCGAGACGCTGTTGCGCAGCACGTACGCAACAGACCCAAGCACAAACAGAGCTCTGATAACACTCTATCACTAGGAGCTGAAGCAATGCCAGACACAAAATGCAAAAAAGCGAATCAAAGAGCAAATGCTCCGGCAATTGGCCTTTGCCCCAGACAGCAACCTACCCGCAGAGGTCAGGACTACCCCCGCCATAGGGTACCACCCATCAAGAGGAAAACAACATCCCTAACGAACCTACTACATCCAGTGCCATGATAACCTCGCTATAATGACCCTCTACCTAGAGACCCCATCCAGCGCAATCGAAACCACCACCCCAAAGCCAGAAACTGAGCCCAAGAAACCAGATGAAACACTCACCCTCCTTGCACCAGACATCGAAACCTTCTACACCAATATCCCAGCCTTCATACTGCCCTTATCCAAAGCCCTCTCATCCGCCATTCAAGACCTACGCGCTCTATCAACCGCAAATACAGACCCAGCCACCGGGCCCGACGCAGACGTCCCCGCCCCACAGCACTCGAACCACAATGCACGCGCCCGAGCGCGCGACCGCCGAGTCCGGACCTCGATGGCGCCAGTTCCGCCACTCTCGTCACAGCTGCAGGCGCGGATGCGCGTGTTGCGCCACACGCAACTGTCTGAGCTGCCAGTTGCTCGGCGGAAGATGGCTGGTACGGCGGCAGAGGTCGTTGCTGTACGGGCGCGAGTCCTGGAGCGCACTGTTGTGACTCTGGAGCGGGCGAAGCATGGGGCTCTGGCGCGCGCGACGAAAGCTAAGGCGGAGCATTTGGCTGTTGTTGCGCAAGGCGTGGAGGGTAAATTAGAGTACGTTTGTTTTGTCTTTCTGGGTTTCAAGTCGTTATTTTTTTTGGTGGAATTTCTTTTAACGATTTGGACAGGGTTACGAAACTGGAGATTGCGGCTACGTTGTATACGCCTGAAACACTTGCTGCTCTTGCTCGGTATAGACAGCATCTCAGGCAGACGAAGGAGCGCTTGCAGCACCGTCGGAAGATGACGATTCAAGAGTTGAGAGGTTATGGTGATGTGGAGATGTCTGATCCGGCTACTGATATTGACGCGGATGAAGGGTCTTTCGCGGATATTGCTCGTCGGTATGGGGTTTTGGCGAGAGAGATTGAAGAAGTAAAGATGGAAATTTCACGATTAGAGAAATGAGCTACAACTAGATACCTCAGGTAGTACATAGTATAATTAAGATATTAAGACCTGGTTTCAACATATGCAGTGTTAGACATGTAGATCAGCAGACCCCGGTAGCCCTAGACACCTCCTTGGTGACCATGCAAGAGGGTCCAAGGCCTATCTGTGCAACAAATCTTTTGAACATGATCTTTGCAAGGGGCTTCATCAGTCCATCTGCTGCCATCTCGGCAGTCGGGGATCTTGACAAAGTTGACAGTGCCAGCAGGCACTTCTTTACGTAAGCGATGAAATCTGCCCAGGTGATGGCAATGTGTTCGTATTCACGTGGAATTCAGGATGTGAAGCCAAAGCAATTGCACCATTGTTGTCTGCGTAAATGCAAATAGGCCTCCGAAAAAAATCCGGGGATCCCAATCTCCAGGGCTCTGTCAATAGCCGAGTAAGCCATAGGGCTTCCTGGGTATCCAATGCCTCAATGGTGTATTCAGAGTCACTTGTTGACAATGCGAACACAGGGTTGCTTCTTAGAAGTCCATGAAATAGCTCTACCGGCCATGTTGGACACGAAGCCAGATGTGGATAGGCCCATTTCACTGTGTGGGCCAGCCCAGTCGGCACCGCATTAGCGAGATAAAGCTTCATGCTCAGTCTCTCCAGATATAAATGAAATCGGCAGATGTTTCGTGCCAGCAAGATATCGAAATACTCGCTTCAGTTCCTTCCAACACTCTTCCTCGCAACTTCCTGACGCCTGGGGAGGACTTTGCGGTTGCACTGAAGTGGCTATAGATAAGCTGGTCCTTACTTCAGCTGTGCGTGACAGGTGTGGTCTTTGAGGACCGCGTTCTCGCTGTCATCGGTGTCATTGCTGTTGATAGGACAGGGCATATGATATCAGTCCACAAGGCGTATTTAGGGATGATCAGCCAGGGATGATGGGTGTCGTATGGGACTATGGATTCCTGGTTCTGAATCAGAAGCAGAATGTACTGAGTATATAAGTCTAAGTATATACAGGCGTAGATGAAAGTTCATAAGTTCATCAACCCGCCAAGTTCTTAAATCCGGGGATGTCCCTGGCTTAACCCCGCGAATCACATGACCGCGCCAAACTTTTTCTGCCCGAAAGAGTCAACGCGACAAGATCTACTCATTCGCCACATTTCTCTTTGAACGCCCTGAGAATTAATTCAAAATGGCCGACGACGGACTGAACATCTATGATGAGATCGAGATCGAGGATATGACCTTCGACCCGAATATCCAGATCTACACATACCCTTGTCCATGTGGCGACCGCTTCGAGATCGCGATCGACGATTTGCGCGACGGCGAAGAGATCGCCGTGTGTCCCAGTTGCAGTCTAATGATCCGGGTTATCTTCGACTTGGTATGTTTCCCTATAATGCAACCAGATGTATGACCCTTTATGTGTTTAGTGGGCTAACTATACACCCTGCGGGGTATCTACAGGCCGATCTTCCCAAAGCTGATTGATTGATGCGCAGAGTACGAGCGGGGTGGCTGTTCAGGCGTGATTGTGCGACAAAGAAGATTATGCAAAATACCCTTGAAACGATTCGAGGCAATATCCACCCGAAGACAAGGACTATGCTGCTGAGTTTTGGAAGTCGGCTCGCAGCCGTGGTTATTATTTTGGCGGAAGTGGTTCGAAGGATTGGATATTTTGCCATCCCACTGCCAGATACGACTGCTCGTCATGGTCTGCATAATACGCCTCGCCGACTCTGGCGACTTTGATCCACCAGACCTCACTTCAAACACTAGATCGCGCCAGCATGTTTCATGTTCTGCTGCGAGTGTTGTCTACGTGCATCTTGCCAAGTGACTCCGTGCCTCTGGGGACTATTGGCCTCGGTGATTCGCACCGGGAACCCGCCGTACCTTCGCTCAACATATTCAACGTTGACTCTCGAATTTATCTAGTGTGAGTTTTCCCTTGGACAATATCACTTGGCCAGGGAAGACACCACTTCATTCATTGGCTTAAGATTCTATTTGTGCTTTGTACATGTCGTGTTCATTCAAAAAGGAAGAACAACACTTTGATACACCTGTTCAATTGGCGATGAAATGACCTTTCCTCCGCCTTCGCATTGCGTTCCCGCTACATACAATGGTTCTATACCCACCTAGTACATTGCCTCAAATGATACCCGCAACCTTGTTCCCACTTTATTCGTTCATCTCCCTCCAAATCTATGAGAAAGAAGCAGCACGAGAAATATTTCAATGCAACCGCATCGTAAAATAAACACTAAACTACAATATGCAACAACATCCCAAACAAAAGCTGGATGGACAAGAATCCTCTTCTTCTAGGTAATCGATAGCCCAGCAAGACGGTTCACTCACTCAACGACCTCACTATAGATATCCTTAGGCAAACGCAAGGTCAACTCGGAATTCAACAGCTCGGTCAGGTTAGATCCATCACGCAGGTAGATCCACTGCCCATTAGCGAAAGGCCGGGAGTCCTGCTTCTCATGCATGTAATCGCCCTCGACAATCCAGTCGTACCGCTTGGGCCCGGAGATGGGCGAGCTGAGCCATATCTGCTTGTTGGGTGGTTGCTTGTTGAGTACATAGGTTCCAAGTGCGGGAACGGAGATATTCAGAACACCAGCCTAGAAGAACAAAGTGGGTTAGTGACTTTTTATAATCTATACACAATGCCAATGGAAGGACTTCGTGTAGGCCGAGAAAAATAGGAAGAAGGAAGATGAAGAAGACCGGGCAAAATATAATATATAGAAAAAAAAAGAGAGAAACATACACTGTACTCAGCCTCAACATCCGATCCCTCCTCTTGTGCCTTCTCCAGCTCGCTTTGCAGGACGTTGAAATAATGCTCCGCGTACTCGTAGTACTCCTCCGGCGTCAACGGCGAGGGCTCAGTGATATGAGAAGCAGCCCCGGCAACAGAACCCGGCTGCGGGCTTGGAGCTGGGGGGTTTGCTGATTCTGGGTGAATGCCTTTGCGGATTACCGGGGAGGACTGGAATGAGCGAGTGAACTGCGAGGCGGAGCTGGGGCGGATGGCGCAAGCCCGGGGAAGCAGAGTTGATGTTGTGGTTGTTGTGCGCATAGATGGGCGCAAGGAGGTGAGCAGAGCTCGGGGGGGCTGTGCGGGATAGCATTGCTGTATGAAGGTGTTTGGATTGGGTTTGCGGAAGATAGTAATTGAAGGTTGGCGGAGCTGTTCTGATGATGGATGCGGAGAGATGGGATAATTTACATCATCATGGTTCACCGCCTGCTTTATTAGATATGATTACGGGCAGTACTTGTGATTGGATGGAGGTATAGACAACAGTTGCTCGATGTGGTATTTTATTTAGAAAAGGTAGACTATATATCTTGTGCGACTATGATGATTTAACTTGTCAAATACTTGGATTGATTTGTAGGCATTTGATGGTTGGTCAGGTTGAGGATATACTTGCGCAATAGGCCCGGCCCCCCAACGAGACTGTAGCATCTAGGAACTTTGAAAAGTAGGCATTGTAGTAACGTTCGAATATATTTCTCTCATGATGAACTACATAAAATTTGGCTTGGAAGAGATGTGATATTTGTGAATAAAATGTTATCCTATTTCACTCCAGGGTTAGCCATGACCACTTCGCCTTCCGGTGATGACATTGGGTTAAGGATCCTGGTATAATCCTAGAAGCTTTTATGTTTGGGATTTATACTTGGCTTTGTGGGCTATTGAGAGGTCTAGTCCAAGATTTGGTTTTTGTTTATCAATATTATATTGAGTCTATTTCCGACAGATATTCCCTTGAAACTTATAGCTCCCTCTATCGCGGTCCGGCCGCTTCTACCCCCGTTGTATAACTTATGCTATATATGCCCCTTCATAGTTTAAATAAGCACATACGACCATAGGGTGTGGAAAATAGGGCTTCCCGTCCGCTCAGCCGTACTCAAGCCACACGCCGGTGAGTTAGTAGTTGGGTGGGTGACCACCAGCGAATCCTCACTGTTGTATGTTTTTGTTTTTTGGGCTACCTGTAAAGGAATGAGAAGCACTCGTGCCCAGGTGTATCCTGTCGATGACACATGCGGAGAGAATAGAATGCGCCCAGGCAGACGTGGAGGCTGCTGCCGCTGTAGATATCGGAACGGCCATACCAAATAGCCTGATGCCCACAGGAAGGAGATTGGTGTATAATGAAACTGCTATTATAAAAGATGTCCACGAGTGTGCATACTTGTCTGGAATCAACAGAAATAATGTGTTAACAGTGGTACTAATATGGACACCGACAACGATATTTTCCGGCCTCATTAATGATTGATGAGACCAAGGAGACTTGCATCACGCTCGCCCTCGTATTTGAGAAACTGAAGGCACAGCAATGGTGAATATCCCATAGGAACACGAGGTCGACTTGTTATATCAACCACAGGTATGCATGATCTCGCACTTTCTTGAACCAATGAATGAGATCCTTTGAAGACATCTTCGTATAGGCAGCTATAGCTACCTAGACATGTCATAAGACTCGTCCGGTGTCTTCGGTATACGTCCAGCCCCATGGGTGTCGGGCGGGCAAGACCACGCGTCACAATCTAAAAATGGTCCTCGATAGTTAGGCTGCTTGATCGTTGAGGCCGGAGACTAGCCGAAACCAATAGGAATAAAATCCTAGGACGATAGTTTGATCAAGAGCGTAAGATCCCCACAGAACGAGATTGGTAAGCCACGAGTGACTAACCTCCCGTATCTTTCCTATTCATTTTCGGGATTATGATATGTGTACAATACAACATACGGAGTACGATGTACAGCATACAAAGCCAGCAGAGCTGCGCAGTAGGATGACGTGGGCAGAGCGCCGGGAAAGTGGGACCGGGGCTAGAAGCGAGTCTATGGAGAAAAGCCACATTACTTGCCAATGCGACCAGAACATCCCTAACAATGCGATGTGTTCTTTTTTTCTTTTTTTTCTTGGAGAAGATTATTGTTATAATAATAGTCCGGGAATTAATAGTCCGAAAAAGTATGTTATATAGTCTATAGTCTTGAATGGGAACCAATTTAGAGCCTTGGTTCACGTCAGGATCATAAAGAGATCGGTGGAATTAGTATGTTTCAGATCAGAGGAACCCTGGTCTTGGTCATGGGAGTAGAGATACCGACATGCATATGCCTCGGAACTATGTCCGGGACCTTGCTTTAGAAAGCGGGAGCTGACTGAGGTTTGATCTCCTAGCCACCTTGTGATTCTCGCTAGTGGCAACTATTAGTCCAGGAGGAGTTACAAAGAATGGATGAAACCCGGAGAATTACCTAGGTAGTCCCGAAGGGTACTCCGGATGAGATGATTGAGAAAATTCAGAACCCGCTTGGCATGTAAACCTTGTGCTATCTGCATTCTGTAGGGTATACGGAGTACTTGTGTACCGACGATGTTTTGACAGCCTATAGGAGAATCGGGAGTAAGAGCATTGATTCCCAGTCATTATTCCAAGGGGATCACTACTCCGTCAGAGGTGGCACAAAGCAACCGGAACCAAAACTGACGAAATAGAAATTTAGGATACGTAGAACAAAGAACAACCAGTGAAGAACATTCGAATGGGGCGCCAATCTCAATACGATGTACCGGAAGAAACACCGGCGTGTAGTCCGGCAAGGCTTGTCATGGCCGTTTTTCGGCAACAGATCGGCAGGGGGCTGAAGAGGGGTTGGTTTCAGACCGCGCCCCCTCTTTCTTCTAGCCCTAGAACAACAACGCCCCCAGTTGACCCAGAAGTAAGGAACATACCGGGATATCGGTGAAAGGGAGAGACGGTCTAGATCTTGTGTTGCGTGTGAAACATGGCGTCGATCGGGGTTGGTGTCACTATGAGTGGCCGATTCGATCCATACTGATTTGATGTGGTGGCGTTTTCATAGTCGGTGTGTCATATTAGTCAATTTCAGTTGACGCCGGGCATGATTGTGTTGTGATTTGTATGAAATCTTTTTCTTCTTTTTCTTTGTGAATCTGAGATTCTGAGCTATTGAATCTCTTACAAGTCTTAAAATCTCACAATCAGACCTTGGAACCAACCTTAGTTAAATTAATGTAGTGCAATGTTTGGTGTTTTTATCGTGTTCCTACGGTTGTGTTCAATAACACAGTGATATGATAGGTTACCCAAAAACCCGGATGATGATGTATCTAGGGATCGCCTATCAGAGAAGCTCCCCTGACTGGGATCCAGGGAATCGCGCGGTCGAATGCATGATGAACCACTGGATGATGCAATACTATCCGTGGTACGTTCTCACCCCCACTGCACCCCCAATTTATGTCGAATTTCTGTCATTGGTCTTTAAACCTCCCAAGGTGGTTTCTCATTGCATGCCTTTGTATTCTGCCAGGGGTAAGCCAATTATTGTTCAGGCAAAGTTACAGGCACCAGGAACAGAGTTTCAGTTGTATTTTCCTCTGCAAGTCAAAATGTCAAAACTCGATGTAACAAACACCACTATTGTTACCCCATTATAGTCCAGGCCATTGTGGAGTGGTCTAAGGCTCCTGGGAGTGGAGTTAGACCAGATGGGAACTTGTTTGATACCGAAGAATCGAAAGAATTAGTGTCAATTAGCGCCTTGGAGATTGAATTCGCATTGTAAATGTAAGAAATGTCAGAAAAGACGCTCGGTTCAAGCCAATCACCATGGTTCGAATTTCTGTCAATGGCCCATTAAGTCCATTCAAATCCATTCTCCTCCCCCGCGCCCAATGATATTTTTCATTCAACCTTTGATCTGGCCAGAGGCATGGATGGGTATGAGGTCGAACCCGCCTCCTAGGCCTCCAACATCCAATGGCCACTTCCTGGGTCCACTCCACTGTGAAGAAATGGAATATCTTCCAGCCAGCGAGTTAGGCTGGTAGGTATGACACACTGATGTCTGGGAGATTTAAAACCTCCGCCTCCCTCAATCTTTCTTTTCTTCTTCTCTCTCCCTATCCACGCTAAATTTCCTTCATTTATTTTCTGGTCTTCTAGTCCTGTGCCGTGCACGGTCTGAGCCTCACTTTCCTTCAAGACTACATTCCTTTTCACAAAGTCGAGAACAGGTTTCTCTCTTTTTCCCTCCTTTTTCTTTTTTACAAGTCCACTCTTGTGACTTATCTTTCGAACTCATTCAAAATGGTCTCTTTCACCAAGCTTTTCACTGCCGGCCTCGTCGCCACTTCGACTATGGCCGCCCCCATGGAGGCCAAGCGCAGCACTTCCGGCAAGCGCGGCGCCGCCTACAACGACGTCAGTAGTGTGTCTGCTCTGACCAGTGGTGGCACCATCTCATGGGCCTACAACTGGGCCGGCTCCCTCTCTGGCGCGCTCCCCTCAAACATCGAGTTCGTCCCTATGCTCTGGGGCCCTAAGATGTTCGGTGGCTGGGTGACTGCCATCGAGACCGCTTTGTCTAGCGGCAGCAGCTACATTCTCGGATTCAACGAGCCCGACATGGCTTCGCAGGCTAATATGAGCCCTACGGATGCTGCCAGCTACTACCAGACCTACATCACCCCGTGGGCCGGCAAGGCAAAGCTGATTTCGCCCGCCGTAACCTCCTCTACCTCGCCCGGCTCCGGCCTTGACTGGTTCGAGTCTTTCATCGGTAGCTGCAGCAGTTGCAGTATTTCCGGTCTGGCTGTTCACTGGTACGGTGATACTGCCGACAATTTCAAGACCTTCATCACCAATGCTGTCGACACTGCTTCCAAGCATGGCCTGACCGAGGTTTGGATCACTGAGTTTGCTCTCAACTCTGATATCAGCGGCGCTGCGGACCCCTCCGCTACTGCTGCTTTCCTTAACGAGGTTATCCCTTGGTTGGATTCCCAGACTGGTGTTGCTCGCTACTCTTACTTCATGTGTGCTGATAACTACTTGCTCTCCGGCGGCACTCTCAACCAGGCTGGCCAAGCTTACGTCTCTGCGTAAGACTGTGCTTGTTTGACAAGTTGAAAAATAACGAAAATAAAAACAATGAAATCACGAAAATAGAGAGCACGAAGGGAATTTGAGAATTTCTTCAATGGGTTCTGTCGGCGATTGGTCGCCTTGGTCATCATGTCTGTTCATATTTCTCAAGGAGTTTTTACGCAAATATCCACCACGCCATTTGATTTTTTTTTATTAATTCCAGACCATTCCCACGTAATCGTAATTATGTATTCTGTAATATCAAGTGTTTGGATATGATTAATGTGGCGGGTTGGCAATGGCCACAATGGGATTCATGGCAAACGAGGCCCGCCACAACACCTCGCCAGGCAGATATCCAAATATCCAACAATGCGATATTGTTTAGCCTAAAGGGTCCAGTCCCATTGACCTAATAATAATGCTGAAACTTGAAACCTCGCTTTCATGTCTATTTTGACTCTACTCTTTGACTCGAATTTGGTGTCTACTATCACATCCCGTTCTTACTTTCTTTGTTACTTTATGTGTCCCTTTCAAGTATTAACAATGCATATTGAAACATCGAGTTTCAAGACCACAATGCATAACAGTTCTTTAAAGAAAATCCCAAAGAGCCTTTCGAGTATTAAATGGTGGACATATTCCTCTCATCGTCGAATTTCTAACCATCCAAACATCCAAACATTCAAAGCAAGCATGTCACTCCAGCCGCCGCCAATCAAAAATTGGCCACACACCTACGACCAGAGATATGTATACAAGCGTTTTAACATAGAAGATAACCCCTACGACCATCAGGTTGTTCACGATTTAGCACAAGAGGTCTTTGATATTGTAGCGGTTGAATCTCTTCACGATGGCAGGGCTCTCAAAAACCTTTTCCGATCGAGTTATTCACGCACTAAAATCCAATTTGAGTGGCGCAAGCGAATACCGAGGTTACCAGCCGCTGTTAGAGCTCACGTCACGGACGTTGAGCTTCTCACCGGGGCGCTTTATAAATACCTCAATTGCATCCAAGATGAGTTGCAAAAGGAGTTTGAGAAACAACTAAATGAAGCACAAGAAGCAGAAGGAGCAGCAGGAGAAGGATCATCAGGAGGGAAGACAGTAGGAGGGAAGACAGTAGGAGGGAAGACAGCAGGAGGAAAGACAGCAGGAGGAGAGACAGCAGGACCAAGTACAGCCCAGCAGCCATCAGAAAGGTCAGTAGAAAAGCAACCGGAACAACGCAAGAGATTCAACTATGGTCGGCCCTTCATAGTGCCCAATGGTGATATCCAGATCATCCGAGCAGATCACCCTGACATGCCGATTGCAATTAGGGTGAGTGACTTTTTAACTGACAGAGAAAATCCACAGGATATATGCCCAGATGGGGATTGGATCAATATCGCCAATATCAAATTCGAGGTGTTCAAAGAAAACCTCACCCAAGAAGGATATCTACGAGACGGGGACACAATCTGGTTACACCATCTCTCTCTGGATCAACTTGATCCTGCGTTGATTTCTAACCCACAGACTGGCGAGGTACGACTGGCATCCTTCAATCTCGCATCTACACTTTTACGGACTATCCGTGAGCATTGGCCTAAACTTCGAAATCCTTCCCCTGATCCTTTTAGAGGTAACAGACGCTCACCATTGCCCAGACCAAACATGACTGTTATCATCCGGAGCGGGAATATAAGAGGTAAGACTTCCTTTCTAATTCAGTGCGATTGGTAAAAGACATCATGCTAACATTCTTCTTCTTCTATAGGTGGTGCCCTATCTGCCAATCAGCCAGCAATAGCTCGTCCCACTGAACAAATTGGTGGTAACAAGATCGTTCCTAACCGCCGTTCTGAACAGGTAGCTCGATATGCGGCCAGCAAACACGCCAAAACCAAGCGAAAGAGGGCAGAGGCGGAAGCGGCAGCAGCAGAAACGACGGCAGGGGAGACAGGAGCAGAAACCGATGCTGAGATGAATGCTCCAGCGGCCCAGAGAAGAAGGCTAGGAGTAGCACACAAAATTGTCGCTGTCCCCGAAGCTGACCCTGCCCCTGGTCCTAGTTCTGGTCCTGCTTTCGCCCCTAGTCCTCTTTTCGTCCCTGGCCCTGTCCCTGGTCCTTTCCCTGGTCTTAGTCCCGCCGCTAGTCCTCTTTTACCCCCCGCCCTCGTCCCTGAGCCTGGCACTGGTACTGGGACTGCTTTCGCCCCTGCTCCCGGTGGGCAGCAACAACAGGAAGGAGGCGATGAAGCTTCTTTTTTCGAGCTTTTACGTCCTATAATCGTTGAAACGGGATATGGGGCCGATTATGGCCTTGGGCAACAACCCCAGGAAGGGGGTGCCGATGATCCTGCTTTTCAGGCGCTTTTAGACCCTGCACTCCGTAACACAGAGGGACTTGCGGGCGATGACAGCGCCGCCATGCAAACATTCCTCAACGAGAATGAATGGGCCCAAGAACTGCTGGAGGAGGGAGAACCGATGGAGGAATGAAAGGAGCTTGAAGAAAAAGAGGTAAGGAAAGTAAACGAGGTAAACACTGACAGACCTCTCTATCATTGTGTTTTGTGTTTCTTTAATGCTATATACTATGCTAATATTGTATTCTGATCTATCTAAACTACTATTCTATGATACTACACAGAAACAAAACTCTTGAAGATACTTCTTGCCCCCTTGTAAATATAATAGCCCAAAAGCTCTAGATCCCAATGTAACTTGATTTTAAATTAATTCGAAGGCTCGCACTAGTTATAATATATGTTCCCGTAGATGGTAACCTAGATCTTAAAAGCCACATTTTTGTTTCTCGATTCCGAGTCCGCTTCCATTGAATTTGAAGCCGTATACTGTTGTTACTTTCCTTCCGAATGTAGTAGATCGTGATATTGGAAGAGAATGAAAGAAAAAGAGACTGTAGGAGTTATATTGAAATGAACAACAGTTGTAGTTGTTTACAAGTCGAATTTTTATACAAGCAGAACCACAAAACTGAGTTCCTCGAGAGACCGTAGTCATTGGGAAGACAAAAGACAGACATCACTACGTTGTTGGGATATTTCAAGCGCAGGTAAATGGCTTACTTACTGACCCAGACTGAAATTTATCAACCTACGAAGCATAGAGTCAGTAATCTTCCTCGGAAGGTGAAAGGAATAAGGAAGTGCTTACCAGTTCAGCAATGCTAGCATAGGTACCGCATCCAAAAATAATCATGCCCACCAGGAATACCACACCATTCAAAATCGCAGGCTTCAAATTGTGCTTTTCATACCATGCACCTTCTCTCAAAAGCATATACCACATGATTGGTGGGATATAGAAAGACAGACCAGACACGAACAACGAGGAAATGATAGAGAGCAATTCGGAAAAGATGGGGATGGCCTCAGCAATGATCCAAGCTAGAATGGTAACAACAAACACAAGACCAAGCCATGTGCTCCAACCCTTGGCGGTGTTGACGAAGCGAACGACTGAGTCCCGGTATATCTTTCCATGGATATATCGACAGACGACAGTTGTATTGATAGACCCGGAAATGAAAATGACAGGAAGCGCTATGCCGAAGACAACCCTTGAGATGACGGGGCCCGCGGACAGCAAAGCAGGCGATTGCACCTCCTGCCCGACAAAGGCATAAATGATTGACCCTGTCAGGGTGTAGATAACAATTTGGATACCTCCTAGCCACCATAGCGTTTTGACATAGTCCTCGGGGGTATGCATATCTTCCATGAATGACGGCAGACAACCAGCAAAGGAATACGCAAAGACGATATTATTGGTGGCCACGATAGCCGCTGAGAAAGTGAGACCAGGCTTCGGCCAAGCGGACCAGGGCGAGAGATCCGTAGAAAAGTCACCCGAACCATTCGAGCTCTGAATACCAGTTGCAATTATCGTAACCCCAATGGCGATGACAATCGACGCGAAATCAATATAACCCAATATCGCAATCTCGGCAAATGACGGAGGAATAGCGAGCAACATGAGAATTGCAGCAGATGCAACGCTGAAGATAATCGAGCACGAACTGCTCTGAGTGATATTCTGGAACGCGATCGCACCGGTTAAGCAGTGCGACCCAATCACGAAGACAAGAAGAGCAACAAAGCTGCCCACGAAAAGTTTTGATCCCAGATTTCCCAGTAGAAGTCGTCCGACATCTGCATAATGACCAACTTGTGGATACCGCAGCTTGACTTCGCCGATATTGTAGCCCGCGTAGATTGCGACGAAGCCGAGTCCAATAGTTAGGATTACGCCTGCGACCATTCCCAGAGCCGCGAATGCAGATGGTAGACCTAGGCTCCCCAGGGCGATCGCTTCAACTATGGAAATGACAGTGAGTCGTTTCCAGCCCAAACGGCGGAATCGGGCATTTCCTTCTAAGATTCCTTGTAACTCAGGGTCCTGATCCTTAGGGAGAGCTTCGCTGGCCATTGTATGTCGAGATCTCGTGGGCAGTTGATCAATGAGTTGGCGAGCCGTATGCTAGACTGGTGTAGGGGTAAGTGCAGCCTAAGAAAAGGAAATTTAATGAAAAAAGAGAAAAAACCCAAAACGAGGAAGAAAGGCGGATCAGATAAGATCAAAGAGTTAATATCGACCGATGGTCGGACAAGCAGAGTGGAGTAACCCTCTCAACGACATGACACTCTACGGAGGATTCCGTATTCTTATGGCCTTATGAAGACTGTCTAGATGTGGAGCACAGTGGAGTCAGTCAACACAATGTTTATCAATCACAGGGATTGAGATACGGGGAGAGACTGGTGATTCGCAAGATTCCTGGCGCTAGATTCGGTTAAACTATATTCTGCAGGAAAAGGATAGGACGTGTCGGGGCAAGCCGCAAGAATAATGAGACACTAGCATCCGCTAGGCTTATACTGGATAAGCACCTGAACTTCCAAGGCTGCTAATGAAAATTTCATGGACCCAACTCCCGAAGGTTGTACGTAATTGTTTCAGCTCGTGAAGAATGGTCCTTCCCTCCCAGGTCGTTCATAGGGTAGAGAGTTTTTCTTTAGGTGATGTGGGTTTCTACCGCCCTTAAATATGATACACGTTTGTTAAGGTTTCTTTTCGTCTCCAGCTTGTCTGTTCCTGGAGCCCTCTTCTCGAGATGGGTGATAGGAGACATAACCATAGGCACAGTGAATAAGTCAGCGCTTGATCTCTGTGTAAAAAAAAAAGTCTTTAGACAATCATGTAATTGGATGCGTAAGGGGTGGAGGAGCACATCGCTTGTACAGATATGAACGAAGCTCTGTAGGGCGGAAGCACTGGAGCCGTGGAGGCCCCCGCGTGATTACGTGATCAGCTTTAAGTTCCAGGGTACCGAGGTTTCAAGGTTCCCGACCTCGGATGGTCAAACTTTCAGAAACCAAGCTAAACCCAGATAGGAATAGCGGGTTTGTCTATGGCGGCTCTACTCTATATCCAGGAACAGCTATACTGGTGCAGGCACCAATCTTAAAGCTACGCGTCTAAAGCTTGGAATGTATCGAGTAACTATCTAGGTAGACACATGTATTCCGTGGGATCCGCCAGTGACTATGGAGCCCAAATGCTCAGTCATGACTTTATCAAAAGACTCACACGAGAACTGGTGTTTAATCTTGATGGGCAGCGAGTATATGGCATGACTTTCAGCAACTGGGTAATGCTAATGTCTCTCCATAAGTGTGCACGCATCATGTGATTGGGGACCCTCCGCCTGCACTGTCTCATGGGGACTACGGCGAGAAGGCGGTCGAGAGGGGTGGGGAGAGAAAGAGGAGAAGAAGAAGAGAAGAGATGGAAGGGGGGTGGGTGCCCTTTTATACCCCCAACAACCCGTACCTTCCTAAAATGGACAGTTCCCTTGCACCTTCCCAATCAGAGTCACATGTATCGCACCTAGAGGTCGCACCTTCCCATACTACTTCTCGTTTGTATTAACACAGCCTGCACGTGAGAAACCTAAGAAATTCTTAATTGTTATCAGCTGATAATGTTCACGAGCACGCTATGTAGGCAGAAAGTTCTTACGGAAAGGCTTCACGAAATTTATCGCAGATTGCTTGGCCTAGCACTATGAACAAGGGAAACCATAATGATAGGAACCCTAGAACCATAGTACTGCTCGTCTGCGCTTCTGTGTCAGATTTCTCAAGAATCTTGGAAACGAGCATCGCTTATTCACCACCGGTAGTATGACTTTGGTTCACCGAGCAACACGGGCAGAATGTGACTATCAAAGATATGGCAGAGTATAGCTCCATATAACTGCAGGCAACACTGTTTGGGGAGTGCATCGAGGTAGATAAACCGTTTAAGCAGGGTCAATAATCCCATGAAAAGTCTGCTACTATAGCCTGGATTGCAGAGTTTCGAATAACCTAGCATAGCACACATAGATGAAAGTGAGAACAGATAGTCAAAGTGCTGTATTTAACGACCCCTAATCCCGGAGCAACTCTTCATATATCGGAAGTTTCCAGTCCTTGACAGGATTCGAAGAGAACCTACTGAGAAGATCCAGTCTCAAAAACGCGGCAATTCTCATAAGATGGTTCGTGAGAGCAATACCGAATACCGTGGCCGAAATCCTATCCCAAAGCCCTCCGTCATCGGAAACACCCTCCTGCACCTGGCTAACAAAAGGGCGAAACTTCTGTTCATACGCCTGGAGCGCAGCCAGAACAGGGTCTGTCGTAGACTCCTTCTCAGAAGATCCATCACAGTGCCTCCCAATCTCCCCAGCCAAGACATAGGCACCAACAATCCCAGAAGTGGTACCCATTCCTGTCATTGCTGACGGACAATAAGCAGCATCTCCAGCGAGCGTGACACGACCGCGAGACCAACAAGCCAACTTTACAAGGCCCATACGCTCACAGTAGAAGTTGTCAGCATCTTTGAGAGCTTCCAAGATCTCATCCGTTTTCCACCCCGCCCCTTGAAGCATCTCTTTCAACACTTCCTTTTGCTCCACAACATTACCCTGCAAACGTTTCTTGAGCTGTTCTGAATCTGCCTGCACGCCAATATATGCCTGGATCTCGTGCGCATTGTGTCTTCGAGTCATGATACCTCGTCCTCCGGGTGCCCTGTACACTGTAGCGATATACCCTTCCCCATCTTTGATTGGCTGAGGTAAGGTAAAATATCCGACATAGCGACCGTTGAGGGGATGGAATGCATCGGGGGCTTCGTTTCCGAGCATCAAATTTCGAGCACGCGACCCTAGGCCATCGGCGCCAATCAAGAGGTCGAAACGGCATTCGGTGGCATTTGCAAATCGAACGTTGATCGCTTTTTCCTTGTCGTTTTCCTCGAAGCTCTCAATTGATGTGCCGAAGATATAGTTGGCCCGGCTTTTTGTTACATCATAGATGATTTGACACAGATCGCCTCTCATGATCTCGAAGTTGGTACTAAAGCCCAGACTGACATTTGTAGAATCGTTGGCTGGGAAATAGGCTTGCCGGTTACCCGCTTTGTTGACAAACTGCATGCCGTGCTCTGGGATGGAATGGGCCTTAAAGGCCTGTTCGAGACCCATACGCTTCATGACTTCGATTCCGTGGTTGCGTAGATCGATTTGGAGCCCCGAGGCCCGAAGGAAAGGAGAACGCTCGACGATTGTGACGTTGTGGCCTAGCTTGGAGAGCCAGAAAGCGAGAGTATTGCCGGTGATACCTGCGCCGCTGATGAGGATCTTCATTGGTGCCATGTTTCAAATTGTGGGTGGTTAACTTGTTCTAAAGCAGAACGACAAGGTAGAGAATTGATGTTGGCTCTGAGGAGTTTAAATAGTTAGTCCGGACAAGATATCAGTGTGTAATAGTTGAGACCGATTATCTCCGCCCCGTGTTAAAACCGCTGCTTCGGCCGATTGAAATCAGACGAAATCAGAAAAGGTTAATAATATCTCAAGGAGCTTACTCCCGCATCACTGGGATAATACTAGCGATTAACTACATATGTAAGTTCTTTTCCCAGCATTATCAAGTTAAGATTGTATACAAACTGGCAAAACTAACAAAATTATAAGGCCCCCTAGAAGAGCAATATACATAGGCGAGACAGACAATTACTCCTGTGTGAAGGTATCAAGGAAATCCAGAATCTGGAAAAAGAAAGTCCCAGTCCAAGTCCAAGTCGTATCCAGAACCAGGACCTTCGGGCTCACCATCATGACTGGACCCGGATGCAAATCCAGCATTGTTGGGAATTCCCAGCAACGAAGAGTCAGCCTGAGCCAGTAAAAGGCCATGGCAGAATTCAAGACTGTCTTTCGCACTCCGTGCGATAGACAATTCACAATCGGCGCCCGCTTGCACCGCTTCGACCTTTCCTAAGATCATGCTGAGAAACATATGACCCTTGACGTTTGTCTCTCCATGGCGAATCCGCTCAGAAGAGAGAATAATTATGTCGTTGGCAGACCGCTTGAGAAGCATAATATATTCGAAGTTGCGGTGCAATGTTCCGTCAATGTGTTGGGCTTCGAGTTGGGCTAAGAGCTCAATGGTGATGACGGCCATCGCGCACCAGATACCCTCTCTGAATAAGCCTCCACCATTGACCATTAGTTTGGAGAACCCTTCATCTGGTTCAGGTGACATGATGGTCATGGCCGTTTCCAGGCTGACCTTTAATGAGAATGTGAATAATGGGTTTGTGCGGGCCTTGTTCATAAAATGACAATGTAGAGGTATCATGAATCGACGCACAAGATAGTCAAGTAGGTTTCGATGAAATGGCGTGATGCTGGAACTTTGGTTCTCCTTCACGAAACTGTGGTATGCGCGAGACGCATTGCTGAGCTCTGAACTCAAGGTAAGGACATCCAAGTAAGAGATTTGTGTGTTCAAACTAGTCAAGAGATGGAGTATCCTGAGGCGGATTGGCAACGAGTCAAGCAGTAAAATTTGGAATGAGGAAGCGGTGTAAGTGCCTTTGGGATGCGGCTGAAGTACCGTGGTAGTTTCGTCAATTTCATCGTCGTTGATGTTTGAAGGGGCCTCGGTGTCAGACTCGGGGATGTTGGCGGGCATGGCCGAATCCAAAGATGACTGGGTGGTCATTTCAATGATTGTGGCCCATAGCCTCCTACGGATTTCGGCCTGCAACACAGATACCCCCGAGAGATGCTTGGGATCTCGGTGTAGATTTATTTGCATGGCTTTGTGAACAAGAGATCCCATGGAGGTCCACACGAGATCAGCGCCAATGGAGAAAATTTGCCGAGCTAGAATTGTGAGGCAGTCAATTTGCAGCGCGGAAACACTCAGTCGGTCTTTTTCTAGGGGCCCAGAAAGCCAAGCTTGAGCAGCATATACCCATCGATGAACCGATTTTCGGAATCCGATATCTGTATTTTCCTGCTTGTGCAAGCTTGACCCTATGCCGACCACAAGAAGAATTTTAAGGCGCAGTTCATTGGGGACATTATGCGGATTGTTCCAATATCTCTGATAATCAACCCAAAAGGGAGGCGTATGAATTATCCGGTGTGTTGACTCGAAGGATTGCAGATACAAGGCTACCATCCTATCTGATACCTCGCGAGACGGGAGCTCAAGGCCAAACTGGGGATTCGATAGTGATCTGCTGGGCCGCCAGGTCTTGATGCTTCTCGCTGTGTGTTTGCATTTTCGAAGTAGATCGCCGACTTGAACAAGAAGGGCTTTGGTTTCAGCGCTTTTGAACGTTTCTCCATTACCCTTTCCAGTAGCCTCGGTATAAAATGCTAGAAAAGGCTCAAACTTATATGATATAATTAGCGGGGTGATTTAAGGCGTATGCCAATGCATATCGTACCTCTTTAGCCATGCTCATCCACAAGCTCCATCGCATAACCCTAGTTTTTGTGAAAATACACTGAAGATCTTTTGGCTGGGATGGGCGGTTAAATATTTCCCGACCCGTCTCTGATAGGTTATGCACAGGTTTTTGTGCCGAAGACTGTTCTAGGCTTTGGATCTGTCGCAAAAGATCTGTAATGGTTGATTCTGAGTTTTGTCCTCGCCCTGGCTGTTCATTAAAAATTTGACACCGAGAATCCAAACCACGATGTGGTATTCCTGCTGGTGTTGGAGTCCGAGTAGTGCTACGAGGCTCTAATGGCTGGCCATGGTCTGTAGATGGTAGGGGGTTTCTGATCGGTTGGACATGTGACGACGGTGAAGGTTCCAGAGTACCCGTTGAGTGTCTTGGGGTGCCTTCTACAGACTGAAGTGAGGACCTGGGTTGATCGCCGTAAAGTTTGTAGGTACATCGTATGTGGACGGAGACACAACGCGTACAAGGGTCATTTCGGTCACAGCGGATTTTGCGACGGCGACACTCAATGCAAGACCGAGCTGGCCTTCGGCGTCGACGGGGTTGAGACCCGTGAGAGTCCATGGAGAACTTGTTTGGAAGTGATGTTGATAGAAAAAAGGAAGTCCGCGAGAGCGGAGATTTCGGCAAATGAAAATGCCGCGTTATATCCGCTTATCCCCGTCGAAAATCAACCATCGAGAACAAACTAACTATCCTTGAATTCCCTTGTCTTTTCTTCTTATCAAAAGTCTTGCGGGGGGTTAATGACCTGCAGGTTCTTTGGTCCTTGTGCATCGATCCTGCATATCTGTCTCGTCTCCGACGGTGTTGCTTGTGCTCCGTCGGACGGATAGGGAACATGTGAAATATTAAGTCCAACTGTTCTCATTTAAAAAAAGAGGAATATAATGCAATGATCTTTTAGTCCATCAATTTATTCAACTTTGATCGATCTATCAAATGGCTCTTCTGTCCCTTTTACTCTCGCCATGGACTATGGCCGTGGCCATGCCCGCGTGGTTCGCGTTCTACTACATATACCCCTATTTAGTATCATACGGGCACTTAAGCCGAGTCCCGGGGCCTTTTGTTGCTAAATTTAGCAACATATGGGTCGGATTAAGTGCTAGACATGGTCAGAAATATGCGGCAGTTGACGCGGCACATCGAAAACATGGCAAAGTCGTCCGTATTGGTTTCAACCATGTGTCTATCGCCGATGAACGGGCTTTGAACGTTGTTTATGGACACGGAAATGGGTTCCTCAAGGAGTAAATCGGATTTCTTACCCGAATTGAGATTTACTAGTGTTAACGAAACATGTCTAGTCACTATTATGAAGCATTTGTAGCGCGAACTCCGGGCATGTTCAATGTTCGCGACCGAGCCGAACACACGCGCAAGCGGAAGATTATATCGCATGCCTTCTCTCCCAGGTCAGTTGCTGAGTTTGAGCCGTTTATGGCGGAAAACCTACTGCGATGGATAACACAGCTGGACCGGATCGCGGCTTCTCAGCCACAAAATAGTGGGAAGGAGTTTGCTCGGTACAACGCAATGCCCTGGTTTAGCTACCTTGCTTTTGACATAATCGGAGATTTAGCATTCGGTTCACCATTTGGAATGGTAAACAAGGGCAAAGATGAGACTGAGACGCAGCTGGTGACTGGAGGACCCATTTCATACACCCCGGCAGTCGATGTGTTGAATAGACGAGGCGAGATCTCTTCAACTTTGGGCCTCCTTCCAGCATTACGTCCATGGGCCCGATATCTCCCCGATCCATTTTTCAGCAAGGGCGTAGCGGCCGTGGAGAACCTGACGGGGATTGCTGTCGCCGCTGTCGGGTCACGACTCGATGCTGCAGAGAAGGGAATGGTCGATTCGCGCAACGATATTCTTTCGCGCTTACTACAGGCAAAAGATGCCAATGGAAGGCCAATGGAACGGGATGAGCTCATTGCAGAGGCTCTGACACAGCTTATCGCTGGCTCCGACACAATATCTAACACGGCCTGCGGGATATTTTACTGGATCCTGCATGGAGAACGCAGAGCCCCGGGCACGATCATTCCCCGATTGCAAGAGGAATTGGACCAAGCAATTGACCCCGAAGCAAAGATTGCATCTTATTCCGAGATCAAAGATCTCCCATTTCTGCGAAGATGCATTGACGAAGCGATGCGACTTCATTCTACTTCGGCTATCGGTCTGCCACGTTTGGTTGCCGATCATAGCCCCGGTGTCGATTTTGATGGCTTCCACTTTCCCCCTGGAACTGTACTTTCAGTACCCTCGTACACTATTCATCATATGAAGGATATTTGGGGAGACGACGTCGAAGAATTCAAGCCTGACCGCTGGTTGAACCTGACTGCCAGACAGAAAACCGCATTCAACCCATTCTCATATGGTCCCCGGGCATGTGTTGGACAGAACGTCGCCATTATGGAGCTGCAGCTGATTATTGGAACTTTGTTTTATCGATATGAGTTCGCGTTGTACCAGCCAATCATGGAGTCACATGAAGGATTCTCGAAGAAGCCCAAGGAGTGCCATGCAGGCCTTAGACTCAGAAAGTGTAGTTGACATCCCGTCATTTTAAAATATATATACTGAACCGAGAGGAGCGAATGGACCATATTCACAATGCGAAAGAGCATATTAATATTTACCCAATTCAAATCACATTACCAAAGAACATATCTTCAAGCGATGGAAACTCCTGCTCGATACCCCATTCGTTACAACCCCAGGGATCAGTGGAATTTTGCACTGACTGCGGCATATAAATGTCTGTGCTATTCTCTCCCATAGACGCCATACAATCTTCTTCCTCAATCCGCTCTGCAAAATGCTGCTTCATGATGTTCAGAGACCACCGGCTCACCGGCTCGGCTTTGCCTCCACATTGAATATGCGAGATGGCTTGTTCCATGAGAATGATTATACTACCCACATCATCTAAATGAACGACAAACTCGGCTAGTGTCACCATTGCAAAGGAACAAAGCACATTTTCGTAAGCCGGGTGGATATAAGTGGTCAAATCTGACATGGAGACAAATAGGTCCAAAAGTTGATGTGACTGGCTAATTGCGAACCGAATTAAGGGGAGTGTTGATTCCTCTGGTGTAATTATGGAGTCGCTCGTTTCCTCGGGTTGAGTTTCGCTCATATGTTGAAGTGTGCGACGTGCAAGAATCAGGTATGCGCAGGAGTATGCAAACCGTAGTGGTTCAGAAGAATCAAGCTCTACAAAAGTTGGAATTAGCATTTATGAAAGTGCTGGGAAGAGAGATTGAGATTGCTCACTATAAATGTTCTCCTGGGACTTGCGCAAATTGTCGATTTCGGGCCAAACGGTACTTCCCTTCTGTATCACGTTGGAGCTTATAATTTCCCAAAGTAGTCGATATAACCTGACTCCAGCTAATACAAGTTCGTCGCGTGCATTGTATGATGGAAAATCGAGGACTTTAATGCATTCGTCAAAGTACTGGCTGGATATGATCGGTGGACGACCAGAGCCCACAGAAAACCTGAAATCGGGTTAGGCTTTCTTGATATAGACACCAGAAAGATTGGAAGTTGGTTGCTATAACGCACTGTAATTGACAGAGGCAAATCAAGTTCCACGTGCGCATTATTTCTTGTGCTTGGGCTCGTTCGCCTCCATCGGCGTCGCTTGTGTTTGGAAGCTGCCCAAATGGAGTAGTCATAATCACCCGCATAGCAGCCGTGCCGCTGAGGAGCCAAGATGTACCATAGTCAGGGCCCAAAGATGGTCGCAGGTCCCACATGGAGAAAATCAACATCGACTGTATTGTGTCAAGCGAGGCAGTGGAAGAAAGATGTGCTTGGCCGAGCAGTCCATGAATATGGTGATACAAAGCTTGATGTGTCGATGACCCATGTAAGGAAGGGGTGATATGGAGACCTGCTAAAATACAAGTACCAAACAGTAGCGAGGATTTGGTGCGTAGTTGGACGGGGTCCGTACTCATGAATAACCAGCGGTTGGATACTTTCGAGAATCTGGAAAATCAACATCGGAACAGGTTCCAAAAGAATATTATAGATGGAATGCTCACCCTTTGAGAAGCGTAATAGCAAGTTCCTCGGAAAGTATACCGTTGATTATAATGTCTTTAGTGCTATCATCGCTGGTCGAGGGATTTTCATGTAACATGATGTTCTGTCGGATCTCCTGGATAAGATTCATGGGTGCATCGCGTGCAGTTCGTTCAATAGTTGATGAGGTTACCTATAATATCCAATTAATTACAGTATCAAGATGAGCTGTGGATATCCAAAACTTACCCCTGGTCTATTCCGGCAGTCACTATCATTGCGGATAGATAGTGATTCTTGAAGTTGACTCAAGCTAGTTTCCACTGCGCAAAGCCTATTTTTGATCAGGATATTGGAATCGAATCTAAAAGGAATCGACAATGGGAGGGTGTACCGTGTATGGTACTCATCGCGGCTTGTCGTAGAATCCACCTCTGCGTCCAGCGGCGGTTCGGGATCACTGCGTGAAATGGCCTGGAAAGAGCACCTAATCCTAAATATGGTCAGATATGAGAGTCCAGTAATCCGATTTCTCAATCTGGCTTGCTACCGGAGAACATCACAACGATGACATCGGTCAGAGCTGCCTGTTTCGCATCGCGTTTTCAATCGCCGACAAGCCTCGCAGGATCGCACTTTGCTCACTTTTGGCTTGCCTGGAGCGTTTCTATTTCGTCTCCGCTTCTTAATACAGGACTCGGACAAAGTCATAGTCAGTTTATAATATGAAAGTTTAGTTAGGTGATCTGAATCAGAGAGGAACGAGGATAGTGTGTATCCCACTCTTGAAGATAATAAAACTGTCGGTCTCATGTTTGCCTGCAGGTGCGCGCACATGCGCCTTGTTTGTCAGGCTCTTATTAACTGATCAACTATAGTTATGTGACTATATATGACTATATATGACTATATATGACTACGCGAGTATCCCACTTGTGTAACGTCCATTGAAACCACATGCTCGAATATATATGTTGTTTATGTGCATACAATATACCTATATCGCTGGCTTGAATCTCAATCCCCCCACCTTTGGCTTGCTATCACACTGATAATCTCCACTACTTCACTTAAAGTCCTTCAATCCAAATTAAAGTCTTTATCCGACTACACCCACTGTGCTGTCATAGTGGGTGGGTGTAGCAAGAAGACAAAAGTTCAAAGTATGGGAAGCTGAACTTTATAAGAATATTGTGGGCAATTCAAGATTTCCATACTCGGATACAACATCCGAGAAATGACATTCGATAGATCATTTCGACCTATCAACTTGTTTAATGAAAAATGCTAATACATCACTGCGTAAAATGTACTAATAGCGCCCAAGACAACCCGAGCAGCCTCGCCAATATCAATATCCAATAACATACACCCAAACTCCAAGCCGTTTGACACCTTCCCTGACCCAATGACCAGATTTACTAACACCAGCACCGAACAAGACCAAACGCCAAGCCATTTGACACCTTGGCCGACCCAAAGGAAAGGAGATGCCCCGGCTTAGATCGTAGTCCCTACTGGATCGCCAAGAAAGTACTTGGTGAGGGCCATGAACGCTTCCGATATAGACGTCTTGTTGGAGAGCTCGTAAAGATCAGAAGAACGCATCATGAGGGATTTCGATTTCTCGTCATAATAACACTCCAATAAACGTGCGTGCAAGCCAGCCAATGACATAAGCAAAACCTGTAGAATACCCTGTCAGCAATCCCAAATATGAAATGGAAAAGGAGAAAGGGAGAGTAGAGAATTACCGGTGCTATTTGATGGTGAACCAAGCGCACTTTTCTCAATTGGCCCAACATTATGCGAAGACTGATCAGGAGTTCTCCACGGAAACAAGTGTTATTCTCCGCCTCCAAGTCGTTGAAGACGACTGCTTTGAAATGCGGAAATTTCTTTCCAGCACTATCCATCATCCTAAAAGCGCCAAATGATGGAATGCCGTTCCATACGGCGCCAAACTGGTACACGCTCTTGTAAGGGGTGTAATCGATAGGCCTATCACTAGCGTTAGATATGATGAACTGATAGAACGATATAGCTCCAATAGTGGTGAACTTACTCCTTTGAACGCCACGGCCCGTCATAATCGTCACGTACTTGGTGAAAAGCATAGGAGTTCCAGTCATCGTGCATGGCGTGTGCACGAGAGTATGGGTCTTCAAAACACTCCTTGGGATCCGCAACTGAACAGGCTCTATTGAGTATCTCATCGCTGGGTTGCGGGAGGTTGGGTCTTGGCGTGAAAAAGCGGGGCTTGAGCTCTGAGTTTTGATCGAGACTCAGGCGGCAGAGGTTGACGTTGAAGTTTTTGAGTCGTGTCGCGTCAAGTTTGTGCTCATCAAGGGCCACTATGGCCTCCTCAAGCTCAATCAAGAACCAGCGCTGCTCTAAATGCTCATCTGTTTCGTGGACTTCATTCTTTGAAGACATGTTTTGTGGATGAGGGATTTGAAGTTGTGATGGATAGATTGGATAAGAGTGGATTTGGATGAGCACAACTGGATCCCGGGCAGTTTTATATCGGAGATTTCCTGGCTAGTATGTGGAGGTAAGAGTGGTGGAGTGGATAGTCAAGTCAATATGATGGAACGTGATGAGATGAGATGAGTTGTCCAGCGACCAGGCGCCAAGACTATCAGGCGAAAAGTATAGTTGCACATCACATCTGTACCCATGTTGTGAAGGTGATCAACTACCTACTTGTTGTACCTATCTACCATTGTTTCTAATGTCTGAGATGGCGGTTCTATTTATTATCATTGAGAATGTGTTGTGTGTCGTGTGTATTTACTATCTATTGTGTATAGAGCATTTGAATTGGAATCAACTCCCAAAGACCTAAGCAAACTGCATCAGAAGCTAATCTTACGGTTGATTCAATATTGGGTGTTGGAAATAAATACGAACGAGGTACTTCTCAACCTCATTTATCTATGTTAATACTATTTATTCCTTGAAATTGCATAGAGGCCCAAATTTCGAAAAAGATTTCAAGGCGAATATACCTCGCGAAGCTGAAGCTCGGGGCACTTGAAGTTTGGATCAAGTTCCTTCTCCGACAGGTCAATTGATTGTCCGTGCTGAAGAAGCCGAGCGATTTTGACAACATCCAAGACACCCCGCGAAAGAGTGAAAATCTTATCCATTTCCTCTAGACTGCGCCCGGCAGTCTCGGGAAACATGTAATAAATGACAGGTATCATCAATGCATTGCAGCCCGCAAAAATGACAAAGTATGTCTGTCCCATGCTGTTGAATGCAATGGGTGTGACAGCAGTGAGTATGATGCTGACTGCCCAATTTATGCTGATGCTAAAGCTGTTGATCGTCGTGCGTAGATGCAAAGGCGCGATCTCCGTGGCGTAGAGATATGGTATTGCGCCAAACCCGATGATGTAGCTGAAATGAAATAGGAAAATGAAGAAAACAGCACCGCGCATTGCGAGTGGATTGTCCGCTTGAGTTCCGAGACCAGCTACTAAAGCCAGACAGGCGGCGTTTCCGATTGCACTGCCTAGAAGCAAGACACGGCGACCAAGCCTCTCGATTTTGAAAACACAGAAGATCCCACCAAGGGGGCCGACTAACTGGTAAACCGCTGCTAGAACTGTGCATGTTGAATTACCCAGTGAAAGGTTGTTTTCGAAGATTGCGGTTGCTATGAGCACAAAATTAGTCAATACGCCATGGAAATAGGGAATAGACAATCCGGGGTACGTACTGTAAAACGTGATAACCGTGGAGCCGGTGAGTTGCAAGAACAACATCGCCAGAGCAGCAATCATGGCTCGGTGGAAAGTTCTTTGTGGGCCCATGTGGAATATTTGTCCAAGTGACTTTTCCTCAAACAAGTCCAGTGATGTTTGGACATCCTTGATTTTTGCTTTCACGACTTGATCATTGAGAGATGTATCTTCGAGAGCCGCTAGGACTTCACTAGCCTCGGAGAGTCGTCCTTGTCGGATAAGCCACCTGGGGGATTCTGGTAACATGCAGATGAACACCAGAACCGCGATAGAAAGAAGCATCACAAAAGCGAAAGGAAACCTCCAGGAGATGTTGCCTTGCGTGAATGACATTCCAAAGTCCAGAAAGAGGGCAAGCGCACACCCCAGACCGCTGAATATCCCCTTCATGCCGACGTGAGCACCACGCTTATTGGCAGGCGATATCTCAGATTGCCAAAGAGGGATCGTGGCCAGTAGAACACCAGTGCCTACGCCTAGGATTACCCGAGATGTGACGAGTTGGGCGAGAGAGCCCGCACTAGCCATCAAAACAGCTCCAATGACTTGGACGACTGCTCCTGCCATTATTGTGCGTCGGCGGCCGAATAGGTCACCAAGCCATATGCAGGACAGAGTTCCGAAGAAACCTCCTATGGTGTAAGAGGCTACAACAAGGCCTTGTACTGTTGACGCATGTGGTTTATCATCGGCTGCAGCAACGTTCATTTCAGGGAATTGTTCCTCGAAGTTCTTCAGTGTCAAGACACCCCCGAGTAGTGATGCATTGTAGCCTGTTGTTAGGATTCCGGGCATGAGAACCCCCAGAATGGCTGCGATATTGAGGCTATTGCCCCGAAGGCCGAGGAACCGTGGCATGTGTAGGAGTAAATGAGGATCAATGGGTAATATAATTATGATGGATCGGCAGGATTGGGATCGACACTGATCAACAGATCGATAAAGTCTTCTGTAGCCGCTGTCAACTTGATGAAATCCCCGAGATTTAAAGAAACTGAGGACAGTCGAGATCCGGGTATTTCGGCTCGTTGGTAACAGACTCGAGACATTCCATTCTGTTGTGCATTATTTTCTCATCGCCACCGATCCCAAGTAGAATGGTTAAGCCACATGATCCAGAAGAGGACATGCAAGGCTGATGGACTCATTCTTCTCGGCTCGCTCTGGAACCAAGGAATTTCAGTGACTAGGCCGACAGTATCTGCAGAGAAAGAGAAACACAGAACAGAAATGGCCCTTGTGACAAGGTTAAAGAATGCACAGAAAGGAGGAGTAGCAGGAGAGGAAAATGAGGAATTGGTAAACGGCTCGGTGTGATTGTTGCAGAAAACACCGGAGTCTGAAGCAACTGGCACCAAATAGCCGACGCAAGGGACATGAGAGTTTAGGCATCTCCAACCCAACGCGCTGAATGTTTGATGTGCTACAACATGCGGAGTGAGTACATGGTCGTTTATTCGCAAGTTAATCTTGGGCCTGCAATAAAAGTGAAAAGCAAGGCCGTTGCATATTGCGGATCATACATGAAGCATCTGCTGTCAGTCCTTTATGGTAGCAAAGAAGATATCATGAACAGTTGTATCCCTCGATCAAAACAATACTCCGATGAAAGCCTGCCCGGGCCGACCCTAAAGGACCCCAATTCTTTAAGTTCGGGTGGAATAGAGCATAAAAACCCGAAACTTACCCCAAATGCCAAGGGATCAGGAATTCCACATGGAATGATACTGTACAATTGGGTTACAATTCCTCTACTTGGTACCTTCCAAGGCTAATCTCTCATTCGGTTTTACAAATTGAAACTACACCTCTTGCCAGAACTCCTTCTGGGAGCAAGGGGATTTGAAATGATTTTGGCACCAAGATCGAAGAATACACAAGTTGACCCAGTGCTCTGACCAGCCAGCTGTAACAAGGTTTAACCCTAGTGAGCGATAGAGAGAAATGGTACTGTGCCGATGTCTATAAACGTATAAATATTGCATAAAATCTAACTAGCACATTCGTACTCTGAGGTAAGGTTAATTGACAAGATATCCAGTGGGATAAGCAAACTCCCTATGCTTGATCGCTTTACTCGACCATGGCACATCCTCATCCTTCCATTGTGAGTAAACAGTTTCCTCACCAGCAACCAATTGGTGGATATTACGCCTGGTGCTGTATACCATATTCCAGGCCAGCTCTTCGTGGAATTCAGCCGCGTTGTTGCTCTCAATATCTGAATCTCGAGAAGCCGAGCCGGCCTTTCTATATGTACCAATCAAGTTGGGAAACGGGGCCCAGCATTCAATCTTGTGACGCCCATTAGCACCCGCGCACAACTCACTCAGGGCGTCATCTACCGGCTTATCCAAATGATCGATGGAAAGCGCGGAAACAATTTTTCTAGCACCCTTGGTCGTAACTGCATAACCAAACATGCAGCAGCCCATTTCAGCACGATAAATAACCCGCGTCGAGTCCTCGGCCAATTCTGGATATTGTTGCTTCCACTGCTCGGTGGGTCCACCCCAGGTGGATCGGTGGTGGGCCCTTGGAACCGTGGGGTCCATGGGGATAGCGTAGAAGCTTGTTTCGTTGGCGTTCGGGCCCGAAGCACATCCACCGATCCAGAGGAGATCCCAATCTACTCCGTAAGGAGCTTCCTGGGATACGAATTTGGTTCCTTTCAAAGAGTGCAGCCCGCGTGCAAATTCCCCAAGCTGGGACTTGAGGCTCACGTCCCAGTCTGCATCATCTTCTAAAATCAACGCAGTCGAATAGCCATTACTTATCACACTGTTGGTTTCCCCATCCACACGTTAGCACGGTCTCTGGATAATGGGGACGAGGTATGACTGTACTTGACCAATGCATTCATGTGCGCACGCCAACATGCCACAACAGTGGGCTTCACGAGTGCGGGGTTCAGTCCCTAAAATAGCATCAGAAGATTATATGGGGATTATTGAACTGAAAATCGTACATCAGGCATGGCCTTGGGATGTAGATCATCCGGTCGCACTCCATCGAGCCATTCCACATTGAACCCCGATACCGAGGCTGCTAGTGTTAGGAAATCGCGCTTGTCGGTCCGCTCTTTCATACTGATGGCATAGATATGCTCAAACTAAAAATCAATGTTCAAGTCAGCAATTAAGTCTATAAGATAGTGGGCAATACCTCACCCCAAGAGTGTTGTTCTGGATATGTTCAAAGACACTATCGGCCATGTAGTTCCGCGAGAGATCGGGAAGTGAGGTAGGCCATGATATATTCCCGAACTTTTTGACAAGCAGCGTGCACAGGATATAAGCAGTAAGAGCCGCTGCCACAGCCACTTGAAGGACGTTTCTCCTAGCGATCATGGTGGGCAGCGTTAACAATAATGAGGAATGATGAGAATCAAGTCATTCACACCACCTCGAAAATATTGAAGTCCAAGTAAATGAAAAGCATTGCGATAGAAACCAATTTTTTTTTTACGTCCCTCGAGTGCCGGAAACAGCTTGCTATGGATACATCGCGATCGAGCTTGTCCAAATGCGGATTTGACATAACACGTGATAATGTGGGTTGGTGTTCGTTGCCTTATGTATAAGGCCTCCAGTGGCAGCTTGGCAGCTTATTTACTTCAACCACAATTAACTACCCTCAATCCTGTCGTGTGTTAAGGATGCATACGCCGAGTTCCGGTTAACTCCCTGTTTATCTATGTGAGGCAAGATTCAGAATTACTTAAATATCTCCAAAGTACTTTTGACAAATCCTTTCCATCGCCAGCTCTTCGGGCAGCTCCCTGCACGTGATACCACAGGGACTTCCATGTTTATTCTCAGGCCTAACGCTCTACCATCTACTTAATCTTGACTCCCAGCCCGTTTTTTATCAACGGACTTTGCATAATACTGGACCAATTATGCAGCATTACTGTGCTTTCCTCGCTTAAACGAACCTCCTCACCTGTCCGCATGACCATCTCCTCCTCATACGCCTGCATAGCCGCGACACGTTCCTCAATAGTGAAATCACCTCGATTCCAGAATGACTCAATCGCCTTACATGCGGTGTAAGCGTCCTTCATAGCGTGGTTGAGACCCTGACCACGCTGGAAAGTCATCGGATGAGCAGCATCACCTGCCAGAGTTACCCGACCCTGACGATTATCCCACCGATGCTCCGACAAACTTGGGTCCCAGTTTCGAAGCTTGGAATACCAAACCTCATGATCAGGGCACATCCACTCAAAGACACTGCGCCAGGGATCGACAAACCGACGGGCCAACTCCTTCTGGTGTGCAACGTGTTCTCGCATAGTTCGTTTATTGACATGGTCGCGTGGTTCTGAGAAGGAGATATAGTGTGCGAAAGTCCAGTTTTCCGGGTGGTCGATATCGTCCCCGTCATGGAGGCTCAACCAAGCACAATAACCCTCGGGATGAGGACCCACTTGGTACAGCGGATGGTGGGGGTGGGCACGTAAGAATAGGGCGTGCTCACGCGTATGCTGGGTATAACAGATGGTCGAGGCGAAATCAGTGGGCGTGACTTTTGCAGCTTGCTCTCCAACTAGTAGTGTACGTGTCGTCGAATGCGGACCATCGGTGGCAATTAGAAGACTGCCAATGACTTCTGTCCCGTCCGTGAACTTTGCAGTGACGTGTTCGCCGGTACCAGAATGAATAATATCACAGAGGGACTTCCCCCACTGCACGTCGAGGCCTTGGAGCAACAATGCCCGGAATTTGTCTCGGCGCAGGCGGTACACTCTGGACGACTTGAGCTCGGCGATCAAATCTCCATTCCCACCATTGATCATGGGGATTGGACCGCTTTCTGTAATAGGGATGTGCGGGTCAACCTGTGCCTGCTCGAGTCCAGCTAAAATGTCTGCGGGCACGAGGCATTGCAACGGTTCATAACCCCAGTGCAGTGCTATGCTCCAGCTTCGTTTGCGACTAGGTTCTTCTTCTTTTTCGAATATTTCGAAAGGGATTCCAGCCTAAAGCGTAGTAGTCTTGTTAGCGGGGCAAATTTGACATAATTGCGGTCTCTCAACCTTTTTCAACCCTTGGGCCAGCGCGAGACCCGTCGAGCCTAGTAATTATTAGCCATTGCCGAATTCGAAATGCAGATCGGGAAAAGAAGAAGGCTTACCAGCGCCAATGATGATGACCTTTCTATGGCCGCTGATAACAGATTGAGATGTGTTCAGAGGGACATTGGTCGTGCTGCTCTCTGCTCCCTCGTGCTTGGTTCGCTTCTCAGTTCCGTTCATGATGATGATTTCGTACTGATGCCAAGGATGTAGTTATAAGATTTCCAAAATCGAACGGCAGTAATGTATCAATTCCTCATGGGGCGCAAGAGTATTGTAATTCGATATGCGGTACTTGCTACGCTCGACCAAAGCGGGGTTGGAGTAAGCTATGCCGAGAACTACGTACATCCTAGTCTACGAACCTTTTGATATCGTGGACAAACGCCATCTATATATTTATCCCCTCATTTCACGTCATATTAACTAAACGCTGGATTCGACATGATTAATGATAAAAATCAAAGAGAAAACAAAAGAACAGGTCTATCTATAATCTATCTATAAGAGAAAATGTCAAACCAAGTCGTAAAACGGATTTAGACCGCAAGTGGGCCAGCGCCCAATCTATCTTTTGGTCCGATACCTTTGTGTCGAACCGCAAACAAACCGATTATTAGCCCCAACCCAGCTAGGCCGACAGAGCACCAGAGACCGGTAGCGTATTGCTCCGCAAGGCTGTGTCCTTGCTGGATGTCGACAGCATCGGTAACAGCCGCCGAGATAGCCAATGCAACACCAGAGCCAATTTGGAATGCAGTGTTGAGCTAGTTTAGAATTTTAGCATGTAAAAGCTAAATTACAAGAAAGGAAAGACTCACCATTCCGCCAGCAAGACTCTTGACTTCGACCGGTACACTGGTGAGTACCACAGTGCTCGTCGTGACGAAGATGAAAGACACGGATGAGATACTGATAAGGGATGTGGGGAGAACATTAAGCCAACTGTGTGAGTTAGTATAGTTTATGCAAAAGGAAATGGCGATACGTACAAGCCTGCCTCAGGGTTGGATGTCAAAGCACTCGAAATGGGGGCGACCACAGCTAGAACTAGTCCAGCAATGAGGAGGTGCTTTCCATTCATAAATTCCAGAAGCTTTCCTGTTCCAAGAGAAACAATGAAGCCGATTGCTCCCATAGGCAAGAAGCGAAGTGCAGTATCACCCGCAGAAAGCTTGTCCACTTCCTGTGCCATAAGGACGATATAGTAAATAACGTTTTGGTAGGTGCCATAGCCAGCTATTTAGAATTAGCGTTTTCCCAAGCACAGGTCCAGGAAACAGGCGACTCACTGAAACCAATAACCCAGAGACCGGCAAAATTCCGGATCTTCCACAAAGAAAGCGGCATGATTGGGTTGCTGACGTATTTCTCAAGGATTGCGAATCCAACGAGAAGACCAACCGCCAATATCAGCAGCACAATAATAAACGGCTGGTCCCAGCCATAGGTTCCACCACTGGAAAGCACGAATTGGAGCAGGATCAGGCCAGCTGTCGACATCACTGCACCAATATAGTCCATTCTTTCGTGCTTCTTTTCGGAAGGAACATCGCTTGGGAGGACGATAAAGCCCAGAATTCCCAAGGACCCGGTGATGATGACAATCAGATAGAAGATATACCTCCAGCCCAGCGAAGAGGTCAAGAAACCGCCAAAGATGAGACCGGTACAGAACCCTAGGGTTCCTGAGGCTCCATAGATCGACAGTGCACGGGTGCGATCAACACCACTGAAGTAGGAGCTGATGATTCCAATAGCAGATGGCACAGTCATCGCAGCTCCAATTCCTTGTATGCCACGGAACACCGTAAGCTGGATAAATGACTGCCCGAATCCAATGGCTAGGGTCCACACAGAAAGCCAGGCAAGACCCAGACAGAGAATCTTCTTTCGTCCATAGCTGTATAGGTTAGCATTATGTCAAGACTAGAAACAATGAGAAGCAGAGTCATACCGATCAGACAAAGCACCGGCTAACAAAAGGAAGCCACCGAACGACAAAGTATATGCAGAAATCATCCATTGCAAATCGGTACTAGACACGTCAAAATCCTGTTGAATTGACGACAAGGCGATGTTGGCACTTGTCATGAAGACATTGTCTAGAAATTGAGAACCGGAGGTGACAAGCAAAATCAAAGACCCTTTCCAAGAACCGAGGCGGCCAAACTGATGCGGGATCTTCTCAAATATAAGAGCGTCTTCGGTGCCAGCCGGGGAAGGAAGCAGGTGTGCAGGTGTAACAGCGCCCGAAAAGTCCGGACTCGAGATCACATTAGGCTCGATTGTTTTTGGGGCTTCTATAGTAGGTGTTTCAGCACCACCATGTGCCTGGTGGCCACGCGGTCGACTGAAATAGTCAACAATGCCCATTATGATTTTGAAAAATAGAATGAAGATGAAAACGGATGGCCAGGGTAGCACTGGCACTTACTTTCATATACTGATATAAGATTTACTATCAAACTAAAAATCAAAATCTTCAATCGATCCAGTTTAAAAAGTGGAGTGAGGCTTCTCGGATTACCCTTTCGAGCAAGATCTTAGACTGGAGCGTGTTCTCTCGGGTTGCCTATTTGAGATAGAAGACCCACGATGAACCCACGAGGAGTGGAGAGAGGAAATCACTGGCCCTGTCTATTCGCACATGCGAGATAGTATAGGATTACTATGAGTAAAATGTGGCTCTGATAACGCAATGCATATGCTTTGTGGCCCTATTGCTCATATTTTAGAAAGCCAACGCATCAGCTGGCGTTCTAAAGATGTCTATCAGTTGGAATCTTCAATCTTCGGAAAAGAAAAACTTAGCGGCAAACGTTATCGGGCCGAACGCTAAGACCCACGGGATCCCGGTACTTTGTAGGGCGAACTTGATGTTTTTAGGGCTACTTGGATATTTTTCCAAAGCTCCTATGTTAAATTTAGCTATGATTTAGTCTGTTCTTTTAAAAATATGCTATATCTCGACTATTTTTTGTACCTGGTCAAAATTTGAGATTCGCCACGCCGATTCTGATTTTTACTCTGCCGCCCCGACAGCTCATCCCACATACATCCATCATCCACAGGCCGTCTTCTAGGCCGCTAGTTCTCCCCCGAGTGGGGGACCGGTCTTCTCCGCTGTCGAAAATTTCAAAATCTCCCCGATTTTCCTTTTAGCAGTTTGCGTATTTCGTACAGAGTACGGCTCTTCAACCAAGGAGAACTTGCGATCCCCGCGCATCCTATACGTAGCTACTGATATATTTCTCCATATTTACTGAACTTCCAAGGTTCCAACCTTGTCACATTGATCAACGATGGGATGAACTACGGTATCCATGTAACTACCCCTCCAACCCTCGGATCACCTTCGCCAAGCAAAACGTGAGCAATGGGAACATTCTCTCCTGCATTGCCAAGCCGATCGCCAGTCAAGCAAAAGCTCTGACCACTTGGGCAGCCATTGATGATTCATAAAAGTCACCTGTTATATCTACGAAGTAAAATTGGAGAGTTCTCATGGCACAAGAATACCATTACCCAGGTGTATAGCGTTCAGAGTTACTTTGATGGGATTGGTGCCTTGATGCCTACTTTTGGCCTGCAGCCCTGGAGTTACAGAGAGCCCTGAATAAGCAAAGTACCGGTCCACGGGTCCACGGGTCTAAATTCAGGCATAAACCAGGCATAAACCAGGCCAGAATTAAGCATCAAGGCACCAATTCCGTCAAAGTAACCCTGAGCGCTATACACCTGGGTAGAATATGCATACTACAAAACCCCGAGTCCCTCAACTTGAATGAAGCAGAAAGGCAAATACCGCTATCGCTATACAAGAACCTCAAACGAAAAAGAAAAAAAAAAAATCTAAAAAAACAAAATGAGGGCGTGAAAATGTAGAGATACCTAGTTAGGTATCCGAGGCTCGTCAAATTCGGCTATTGAAGTTGAAACGACTGACGTCAGTATGCAGGGCATGTGCCAAGCATCCCGATCCAGGGTGGAACTCCCCAAACATCACCTTCCGGTCTCTTTTCACCAATCACAACGTCTTAAAAAATACTTTCTTGACATTGGAAGTAGATCGAAGGGGAACCCACAGTGAAAGGGAACCCACAATGACGTACAATATTATATATCGTCATATCTCTTCTTTTGACAGTTGCGAAATCTCATTTAATCTAGCACATATTTGGCTGATACTCACAGAACAACCTTGAAATTTACAAACTTCGGGAATCAGCCTCATCTGCCATGCGCGCCACCCGAATCTTTTGCGGGTAACACATATTCGAGCAGTCATCAACATTTTCTATCAGCGTCCGACGTCTCTTCTGTTGATATTGGAAGAAACCCGCTTCGGCGCGAAGAAATAGATGACGTTCACTTTCAATCAAAATGTCTCGGCACAACAGCTGGCCGACCTCCTACCGAACGGCGTCGCTATCCTCACCCACCAATATGAACTGGTCTCCGTGAACCGCCGGTTCCGAGAACTCATACCATGCCCCAGCGTCAACTTCTCCGAGGATTGGTTACGCTCGGTCCATCCGGACGACTATGAGCGGGTGTCCAATGGGTATCGCGAGGTCGCAACCTCTAAACGGCCGCTACGTCTCGAATATCACACCCGTGACCCGGACTCGATTTGGTGTGTGATGACTTTAGATCGGCTGGATGATAAAGATGTGCAATGCTTTGGGCTAGGAGACGATGGGGTGTTCATTTGTACAGTCGCAGATATCACCCCGGAGAAAAAGGCTGAGCTTCTTCAGAGGCAGGCAGCGGAGGAGGCACAGGAGCGCAAGAAGCAACAAGAGCGATTTATAGATATGATCAGCCACGAAATTCGCAATCCTCTGTCTGCGATAGTTCATTGCACCGAGGATATTCAAGAGGCAATCTACAACAAGAAGCCAGAGGAAATCTCAGTCATGAACATCACCGAGGCAGCCGAGACAATCAGTCTATGCATTAGGCATCAAAAGAAAATCGTCAACGACGTTCTCACCTTTTCGAAACTTGACGCGTCAATGCTGCCGCTGTCGCCACGAAAGGTCCAGCCACAGCGACATCTCACCATTCCGATGGCGATCTTCCGACCCGAGCTCCGAAAGCACAGAATACATTTCGAATACAAGGCCGATGTTTCCTATGCTGAATGTGAAATTGATTGGGTCATGGCGGATTTGGATCGAATGGGTCAGGTCCTCGTCAACATACTCTCGAATGCCATCAAATTCACCGCCCAATCAGAGAGTGAGCGATCGATCCGAGTCTCAGTGGGTGCTTCGATCGAGCGTCCAACTTCATACCCGCCAAATATTGTCTTTTTCGATTCCGGTGAATCAGCACTTCGCAGAGACACGACTAGCAATTGTGAATGGGGAAGTGGGGAAGTGGCGTATATCATGGTCGCCGTCAAGGACTCCGGTATTGGAGTCACCGAGGAGGCCCAAAAACGGCTTTTCCAGCGTTTCAACCAAGCAACCCCCAGAACCGAGAGCATATACGGTGGCTCTGGCCTTGGTCTCAACGTTTGTAGGAAGCTCTGCCACCTCCATGGGGGTGAGATTGGCGTGAGTTCCAAGAAATCGCACGGAAGTACCTTTGGGTTCTTTTTCAAAGTACGCAGAACAACCAACGATGGTGTCGAAGGAGATGAGAGCTTCGGTGTTTCTGCAATCGATAAACTTTGCGTTGGTATTCAGACACTGGGTAATAGAATGAGCGGAGTCAATCAAATAACGGAAGAGCCCCAGATGTCGGAAAACCCCCTGAAGATATCATCTTTGAGGCACAGCCTGGTGGCCCGAAGGACAAAGACACACTACGTACCCACGATATAGCACGCCAGGTCGAGGACGATCAGATGGAACGGACGAGTCAGAAACTAACCGGTGACGGTCAGCGTATTCTCTTGGTTGAGGATAACGTCATCAATAGGCGACTTATCTCGCGCAAGTTGAGTACACTGGGTTTTGACGTATCGGAAGCTAGCAACGGGCAAGAGGCTGTAGATGCAAACCGAAATACTCCATTCGACTGTATTCTCATGGATCAACAGATGCCTGTGATGGATGGAAATTGTGCTACGAGGGAAATTCGTGATACCGAAAAGGAAACTGGAGGACATGTACCTATTCTGGGAGTCACAGCTAATGTCAGGGACGAACAACAACAGGAAATGATCGGTGCTGGAATGGATGATATCATCTATAAGCCTTACGCGACTCATGAGCTTGTTGAAAAGATCAATCGCATGGTTTTGAAAAAAGGCTACCCATGAGGACCTAAGCCGATGACTGTGAGAACTTTTGCACATTTTGGAAGCATGCGAGATATATATTTGTACAATAGGCTCAGACAGAGAAATATACCAACGTAATAAACCCAATCGCATCAATCGGAATTCCTACAGCCGCCATCACAAAGGTCATCATTCCACCGGGAAAGCCTCCAGGACGCGGATCTCGACTCTATTCGAGGAAATGCAACCAACTCGTCTATGAACGTTCCGTAAACACCAACGGGCAGCCATCCTATGTCCAAAGTCAGCACAAGGCACGAGTTAAACAATATTAGAAAATGGGTTTAATAGGGGTACTAACCATGGGAAACAGTGTAGCAAAAACTCGAATCTCCTCTGATTTATCCGTGGCATGATGCTCCCAGTCAAGTTCCAGCGCTGCTTTCCCTATTATACCAGCCATCGAGAGCGGCACGTATTTCTTTGCGAGGCAATCGTGTGGTCCCGCGCCGAATACTAGCCAATTCTTAGTCTTGGACCCAGCATCCCCGGAGATCCAACGCTCGGGATCGAAGTTATCGGGGTTAGGGTAGACATTCGGATCATGTAAAGCCGGATAACAGGACGGGATGATCATAGCGCCCTTGGGGACGGTATAGTTAGGTGTGACAGGGAAGTTCTTCGTCGCGAGATATGGAACCATGATAACGGGTGGACGGTGACGTAGGAGCTCCTTGATGACTGCATTGGTGTAGGTGAGCGACTCGAGCATGGGAAGATCGAAAGACTTGTTTTTATCTCCGCCCCGAGCGTCCAGATTCTCTTGACGCAATTTATCGAGCACGTCGGGCCGCTGGGCGAGGATTTGGAATAGCCAAGTCGTGGCACTGCTGGACGCATCCTGAGAAGCAAAAAGGAAAGTAAACAGTGTCTGTCCGATTTCCTCATTCGTGAACTCGCGGATCATGTTCGATGGCTTCTCGGCGTCTGTCTCCCCCTCGGCGATTCTTTCGTGATATTGCTTGGATTCCATCATGTGGAGCACCCAGTGGTCTACGATGCACGTTGGTGTCGCACCTGTCGCCATGTTTGCTTTGCATGCAGCCGCACATTTTGTAAACTCGGCATGGACGGCGTCAGCCGTGCGCTTTCCGAGCCAAGGCTTGGTGAACGGAATGTATAGCGACAGAGGCACGTTGACTAGCTCAAGGGCAGCTGTAGCAAGGTAGAAGTCATCTGCAATTTTCTTGACCGCGGCCTGGGAGATATAATCGCCGAAAAACGTGCGACAGGAAAGTGCGCAGTTGATCTCGCGGAACATTGTCATGAATTCCTTTGGCTGTCCCCGATTCGCTTTGCTGGCGGCGACAAACTTGCCGAAGTAATCAGCTAGCACCTTCTCTTGTACCGGAAGGTAAGTAGCCATGGCCTTGTTGGTGAATAGGGGGGTCAGCCCCTTGCGGTACTCGACGTGATCTTTACCCTGAAGAAAGACCCATGCTTTGTGGCCTAGGATATCCTTTGCGACTGGCACTATGCATGGCTCGGCGTATGCGGGTGACTTGAACACTTTGTGGGCTATGTCTCTGTCCGAGGCTAGAACGACAAATCTATAATAATTTGTGTTAGTCTGGACGGTTGTACGCGTTCGATAAGAGTCCGATCAAACGGCAATAGATGTGGGCGCTTACTTGTGGAAGACAGACACACAGCTGAGTGGTCCACTCGCCCACTGTGCAAGATACCCCTCAAACTTCGGGTGCAGGGCTTGTATAAATGGGCCCATGAGCGGGATCTTGAGTGGAGGTCCAGCTATAGAGCCTTTTCGTTTGATATACATCACTAGAGGGCATCAGCAGGTTCTTGCAGTATTGAAAGCTCTCCTTACCTTGATCATAGACTAATATGGCGATTATAAGAGTCACTGCATACTGCCAAAATGACAAGCTCATTAAAGACACCAGCAGATAGCTTTGAGACTGGATATGGTTGGCAGGCCATATCTGTGGTAGCTCATTCTGAGCGATGGAGATGTTGGCCATTTCAAACGCCATGTTGGAGTCCATTATGGTAGATGATAGGGGAAAGTTCCCAAAATGTTCCTTTTTTAAGTGAATGGACAGAGAATACCTACAGAAGTAGGGCATGTTTTCTTAGTAATGGCATGATATCGATAAATACTGGGGGATATCCACAGCTCATAGATATTACCCGATTAGGACTAGACTCCGATGCCAAGCAGGGGCCAAACGGGGTCTAGTCCTCTTTTGATTTGGGCTCGGGACATTAACCTGAGGTCCACATATAACGGAATAATCGCCTAGGAAATTCAACATTGAGCCGACCTTCTGTCAAGACCAACGTCTGTGACGTTCCAACTCTTTGTACTCCGTACCGTGTCGTGAACCCAACAGCGGTGTGGGGTTCTAGTCTGAGCTATTCCTAAAGCTAACACGTTCCCCCTTTTGATGCCCACCAATATTCTTTCAAAATGCGCCAATCTCTCCGCCGGTCCTGTGCTGCATGTGCCAGATCAAAGTCCAGCTGCGATCTCCGCACACCGCGCTGTTCCCGCTGCATCAAGCGGCAAGTCGAGTGCGCCTACGCGAACGAACCCTCGACGGGTCCGGTAACTTCCGGATGGCAGAATGGGGCATCAACAAACCCGCTATATGGGTCCGGCACTTTAACTAACTACACATTCGGGTCTCTTGATCCTTTTGAATCGTATCCACAGACTAGACTTCCCCGGGAACACGTTCAACGTCTGATTTACACCTGTGTGTAGCCCTCCAATGAAGCATTGTCGATGAAAGCTTAGCTTACCCATTTAGTCCTTCACAAGATCGCCTTCCAATACTACCCTCTTGACCTTAATGCGACTTCAAATCCGTTTCTGATCTCTTGGTGGCCACTTGCCCTAGGGGATCCTGCACTATTCCACGTCTCTCTACAGACGGCATGTCTCGACGAAGAGTTGTTGGCCCAGAAAGGGTTTCAGACCTCCGAACTACTCATGGCAGACTCGGTGGCCTTGCTGCGACGCAAGGTTGAATATATGTCATTAGCTGTTCAAGACGGGACTATGAACTCAGTCATAACCTTGGCGACCATCGAGGTGAGATACTACCATAAGCACTCTCTTTTCTTACTGTTTTATAATTAGAACCAATCCCTGATCATATATGACTCTTAGTTCGGGAAAGGAAATATAAAAGTTGGTGAAATGCATGTCAATGGATTGAAAAAACTGGTCGATATGAGGGGTGGCATCAACGCAGTAAGGCAGACAAGCCCGCTTACCGCGAGAATGATCAGCTGGTAAGCCAACCCCTTTGCCACTCAGATGATGTATATTCACATGTTCCACAGGGTATCTATGCTCATTATGGGTCATCCTCAATTCGAGACCCAAGATGACTTCGGCATTGGAGATGGCATCCCTCCAGTCCCGGAATGGCAATTCGACTCAACCGCGCTTGACGATCAGCTATTTGACCTCAGCACTATAGAAGTGGACTATGCCGTTAAGAATGTCTTCAATCGTCTACGCAACATCTTTCAGCGAGTGCGCAATATACCTTTCCCAGCTACACAACTTCACGACCTTACTTGTTTTGTCATCCACCGACTCCTACTCTCCACTCCGGCTACGACAATACCTCTGCCATCACCGATGACGGAATCCCTTCGCTACGGAATTATACTTTACATGTTCATCGCTCAGGGGCCAACATATTATTCGCATGCAGTAATACTGAATACGATTCTCATTCGATTTATGGAGAACCTCGAGCATCTTGCGTCAATGCCTGGTGTAGATGGTTCACTTGATGTGTGGTTTGCTGCGGTCGGGATGGTGGCTTCATCTGGCACAGCTCACCACCAACAGTTCGTGGAGAGGGCACGAGATATAGCTTCGGCTCTACAACTGGGAAAGTTTGGTGACACCCTCATCCACCTCAAAACTGTCTTATGGTTGGAGAAGCCACAGAGTGAAGATCTCTTTCGATCCCATTGGGGCACTATCTTCAATCCCACGGATCAATCGGTAGTATCAGACCTCTCCATGTCGGTTTCGCCATACAGCAGTAGCGTGGAATTTATATGAAATACAGATTCATTCAACAGTTTGTAAGGACACAGTATGACTTTCGTGGGAAATCCTTGATAACGGAAAAGGTTCATACGAGACCACATCATAACGAGCACCATGACCTAAAAGACGACGGCTACCTCTGAGACACAATATCTACCAAACGGGCGTTTACTCAGCCCTCGGCCAATCAGGCTTTTTGTCAGGGGCATGTTTTCTTCCATGGTGGAGGAAGTGCTACACGTTCTCTCAGTATGGTTCAGAGCCACAAGTGTGGGGTGTAATGGATCATTCTGGCATCAATTTAACAGCGTGCTACAACTGCACCACTGTTTGACGCCCGGCCCCGACCAGGTCCATCGCGCCACTGTTGGCGAGCCCATACTATATTATAGCGAATGTAATTTGGGACCGCTCATTATATGGCCACTTTGACAGTCCAGATGGGAAGACATGGCGTGTTTTATATTTCTTTTCCATTAAGCTTCCAAGTGCTCATACCTCAAATACGATCAATCTGTGACCAAAATATATATCTACGCAGCCATGTCCCAGAGCCAACCCCTTCCCTACAAATGTGTGTACATCGTACGCACACATGTAGTAGAGACAAGGGCGGCGCCGATAACCCAAACTGAGACAAAAGTGCGTGTACAAAACAGCCAACTGTGCGTGTACAACAGATTCAGCCCCCAAATCAAATCACGCCAGTTCAGCGCGGGCCTTAAGATCCCTGTGGAAAATATCGAAATGGGCACGCATCTTCTTCCCAAGCAAAGAAGGACTCATAATGAACGCAAGGAGACCCTTGAGATCCTCAGTCTGTGTGAAAATAGTCGAAGCACCTTCATTGGCCGGTTCGATATGGAATTTATGCAAACCAGCAATGGTAAACACGGGCGGGCCTTGCCAAGAAAACAAGCTCTCGGTGTTCTCCTTTGGCATTGAGAGTCTTCAGCTTACATTTCATTATTCGTGTCGGGAAAGAGTCTGAATTCTCACCTTGACTTCAGCGACGAACTTGAAGTTCTCAATGTCGACTTCGATTTCGTCTCCCGAGGAAAGCTCTTGCGGGGTCTTGGTCGTGTCCTTAAGCTCGATCCGCTTGAGCCATTCCGTGTGCCATTCCGGGTATGCTGAGAAGTTGAGCAGCTAGGGGCGCGATAACTGGTCAGCTTGTTTCGCCAAGAATCCGCGTCCTAGGGCTAGTACGTACAATATCCCGCACTTTGGCAGGCGGCGCAGCTATTTCGATTGTGCTTGTGATCATCTTGGTGGTGGTGTGGTTGGGAGGTTGGACGCGCGCGAAAGAGGGGATACAAATAAACGGTGTTGATATAAGAAGAAGTGCGTGGATATAGTAGAATGCATATCCTTACTGCATTCATCGTGTGTTCCCACCCGATCCAGATGTCTGCAGATGGCCTCACCCTTCCTTGTTGCTCATTCGGTCATGATATCTTTTCCCCTAAATATGTGACGAAGGCTAGATCAGGCTACATCCGCAAAATGTGAATGTTGAAATAAATTGTCTATCTTTTTGAGTCTAGCTTGCTGCGATATGAAACAAAATCCAGCCACAAGGTTATGTAGCAATGATGAGATATTCAATAACAAGGGAATAAGAAAAATCCCCTAGGGCCATCTACCCATGAGTCGTATATACATCACAGACATGAAAACAAATATATACGCAAATACCACGTACTTATAATAATCCACACGCATGTTTCAGATTAAAGCTCAATACTGAGGCTCAGCACTGATCCTGCTGACACGCCGGCCATTGTTCTTCTCCCTGTCGGCAGCAAGCGTAGAGGCGAACTTACTCTTGGCGCGAATCTGCGGTCCCTTCCAGTAGAAAATATAGATGGGGGTCACAACCAGACAGGAAAGACAAGCCAGAATCGTGCTTGCATATTCAACATGCCACTTGTTGCCGATATTTGTGTACATAGGCGTTGCGTACATGGCCGAGATACCAGCGAGAAGATCACGCGCGAAAGCGTTGCCACCTGTCGCAGAAGCAGAGTAAACACCATAGGAAGCGACCATATAATCAACAGAGGATAAATAGATAGCATAGTTGGCGATACCGACACAGCCGGAGAAAATCATGGATCCGATCCAGTGGACGTTTTTCGAGTCGCCGAAGGATGTCCATGCGAAACCGAATAGACCGATGGGCTCGAGCGGCGCAAGGAAGAGCAGCCACTTGAGACGGCGCTCGGGCGGGATAGCGGCGTCACCATATCTGAGTCGAAGCTTTTGATCACGCATAAACCACGGGAAGTAACTGAAGTAAGCGATGAAGTAGGCGGCGTTGATGGGGATAACTGCCCAGGCTTGTGCGAGGGTACCGAAGCCCCATCCTTGCTTGTAGACGATGGCGAAACTCTCGAGGAAGGTGAAGATCAGAGCATCGGAGAAACCGGAGAGAAGAGAAAGACAGAGGACGATAGGCTCGCGCAGAAGCATGTAGAATGGACGCGCCCAGATCCTGCCGGCTTCCTTGAGGGACACACGGGGGCTCTTCAACTCATTGGGTCCGTAGATATTCGGGTCTTCTCCGGTCTTGCGGCGGCGCTTGGCTTCTCTGTCCATGATGATGGTCGAACGACTCTCGGGCATGAAGAAGATGATGAACTGAGTAACTCCTCCGAAGATAAGTTGAATCCAGAAGAACCATTGCCAATCAAGGACTAAATATCAAACATAGGTGTTAGCAATAGGTCGCAAACCAGTACATAGTGACCTCGGGGGAAAATGGGTTGCTTACACCGCGCAATTGGTCCTCCAATCACACCACCAATACTTGTACCGATACATGAGGACAAAACGATGAATGCGAGAGGGAATTGTTGCGTTTCGGGCTGGTAGATATCGGCAATAAGACCGAGAGTGACACTACCACCAGCAGTAGAGAGACCACCCTATATTGTGTTAGTTTACCAAATTATCAAGACGCTAGATTTAGGGAGAAACTAACCAATGCACGAGCGACAACAAGACTGCCCCAGTTGGGTGCAAGGGCGGCAGGGAGTTGCCAAATGTTGATCAAGAACATAGAGAGCTGGAGGATAGGCCAGCGACCGAATTCCTCGGACCAAGGAGCCCACAGCTCACAACCAATAGAATATGTAACCAGGTAAGCCATTTGGCCTGTGCGAGCATGTTGTTCGCTAATGTGGAAAGCCTCAGACAGATTTTTGACAGCAGCAGGGTAGACCGAAGTGTTGAAGTTCATAGAAACCTGAACGAAGGCAACCGCGGCCAGATAGGTCCATTTCTTCCATCGTGGCCAGCAGTATCCCAGAATCTCATAGCATTCTGTTTCCTTCAGCTCGCGCTTTCCGTCGGCGCGTTTGCTCTCTTTTTTTTCAAGCGCGGCAGAGATATCGACAGGTCCGTTAGATTCACTGTCCATGCCACTGGCAGATAGAGGTCTACTTTCGCTATGAACAGCTTCGGTGTCTTGATCTGGGGGAGACATCCTTGCGTTATGCGGGGGAAGGAGTAAAAGGCGTGAGAGAAAAATCTTTTGTGGACCTTCTCCAGGTGTTATAAGGACGGAGTATGTACAGAGTTATGCGCAGACTTTTCTCACTTAGGACTCCACGGGCTGAAACCGGATTTATAGTGGATCTACAGTGAAGAGTGGTGGCGCCCGTGGCGTTGCACGCCGTATAGTTTAGGTCCAGCGATGATAATTGCTACGATTGAAAGTATAAAAATATTTGAAGCTTTATATATATTACAATACATTCAGATATTCACAGTATTTATTGTGTTTATGATATTCACCACCATCCTAAGATCCTATGTGTGAATATCAAAAAAAAAAGAAAAAAGAAAAAAGAAAAGAAAAGAAGCCTTGTGAATTGATCTGCGGTATCCAGAGCTCCCTTTCCTTTCTTGGCATTCCCCACATAGCCTGACGTCAGCTCCTCTATCGTCCATTTGTCCATTTTTGTGTTGGAATTTGGTTTACAGAACATTCTATCATTCGGGTGCCACTTATCCTCTACTAGATCCAAACAATGAGATCGCTGGGTAGTCTTGGCCAAGGCGAGGGAAAATTGTTTTTGACCCTCGAAAGTAGATGTAAAACATAGATATATGTCCAGAGTATACGTAGACTCGATTGCTATGCAAAATATGAGGGGGAAGAAGAGGTTGACAATAAAACTCGAGGAAATTAACATGAAAGCCACATATGAAGTCATCTCTTCTGGTTCCAAGGGTGGAATACATAACTAGTAGTATCATGAAGTCAGGAACCTCGGGGATCCCAAATAGCCAATCAGAGAATATTTATGTCAGCCGGGAGATCTTCGGGCATAAACTGAATTCGGTCATAAGTGATGCACAAACCTCCACAAGCTCACCTCAGGTGTTGAATTGGGAATCTTGAGTGATTATCACCACTTGTTCTGTGCAATGTACATCCATAAACGGAGGTGTAGGTCATTGTTGACTAAACATCGTGCTATGCATAAGGTGGGTAGAGGTGGGTCTAAATGACATCATCATTTTGACTAGGTCAAAATAGGACTAGTGTGAGAGTGATCTCTTATCGCTATCGCTATCGCTATATCAGAACCAACGGGACAAACAACCTTAATAAACCATATCTTTTTAATAAAGCTAGACATGAATATTTGCAGTGAGTGCAGAACTGTGGAACTAGAATTCCGTATTTGATAAGTGCTAGCACGTCCAGATATTCCAGATTAGCAATACAGCCAAAGAAAGGGGCAGATACTGAAAAAAGGGATGAACGAAAACAGTCAAGTTGTTTGCTGCACCCACCCATAACGTGATGCATGTGATAAGGATGTGTACTTTCTGAACGCAACCTGGACTTTTTTTTCCTTGACAAAATGTACGCACGCAGGGCTTATGGGATCCTCCAACCCAGGTCTTATCTACGCCCTTGCAATGTTAAACTCGTTTCATCATGCCTTCTATTGCAGATTGTTGATATATCCAGAGTCCGATGTCGCATTTTCAACATATGTTTCGCCCTGGTCGCATGCAACCCCTGTCATACAATGACTCTCCACGTTAGATTGTGATGAGAATAGTCTTTATCACTACACATCGGGGCGCTGGCTTTGGAATGACAAGGAACAGCTTTCTCGCCGCTATGTTAAGTTAAACCTAGCAGAACTTATCAAGATCGCAACCCAGTCGACAGGGTCTATATCCTGTGTCAAAGTACAGAAGCTTCCAGAGTGAGGTGGCGACGATGGACTATGTGAGGGTTGCTTGAGTTTGTGTTGCTAAGACTATATAACCTAATCCCAATTTCTAGGTTCGGAATGTCCTCAGCATTTCAGCCCTGATGGTGTATGCTTGGAGCCTCCTGCCGACGACATTGAAGCCGAGTATATTATAATGGAGAAAACCAGGGAGTGACACTTGGCAAGCTGTGGAATGATATACCGGGTCCTGACAAACTTTATATGATCCAACAACTCGTTGGATTTGAGAAAGCACTCATATCCACTCAGTTCCCTATATATGGAACCCTGCCTGTATGCAGATAACTTGCCATCTCTATTTCTTCAAGCCCGTTACCCAACCCTGATTGGATTCGAGGCACCAATCCCGGAGGGACTGCAGTCAATCAGTCTACCCAAGAATTTCGATGAGCTTAGCCCAGAAGAGCAGCTCGAGGCGAAGAAGCTTCGTGTTGCCCAGTCTCTATATATATACAAGCTTTATGATATCCGGCAGTTGGGCTCATCTTTTTGGACAGCCATACGATGATTATGAACGGCGAGACAGAGAATATGATGAAGGACTATGGGAAGCTCGTGGCATGGAGCGAAAACCCAGATGCCTTTGAATGGACGACGCAACAAAAGCAGTGTATTCCTGGAGAGGGCCTGCTGATACTGGAAATACAAGAGCGACTTTTGACATTTCTTGTACAATGCTGCACGCAGCTTCTTCATGATATCCCGGAGCCCACCTTGACCAGTGACTCCTTCCCTGTTTTACCGGAACTGCCCCTTGAACGCGAAGGTGAGATAAGCGGTTTCGAGTCTTTGGGTGTGATGGCTGCAGAAGCCCCATACCGTGCCCCAGCACAACTGGATCTTGCCCTTGTTGAGTCACTGCTCGCCACCAAGGCGTCGGCTGTAGAGGATCACGTGTGGTCCTTACGCGAGGATCCCGAGTATTTTTTTAGGACACTTCAAGAGGCCAAGGACCATCGTCAGGAGACTTTGAAAGATCTCGATGGCAATACCCACCCACTCATGAACCGTGATCGGGGGAAATCTGGGTACATATTATTGGCTCTGTTCTATCGAAGGCATACGTTGACCTAGAGCTATTCTCCGAGCTTAGCAGCCAAGCGAAGAAGTTGGTCTCGTTGCAAAAACAGTATGCTGACGAGATCTCGCCTTCAAGAGGTTTGCCGGAGGAGTATCTACACGCATTGCTCCGGTTCCGTTATTACCTCCGCCTTTGGGTCACAGAGCCATTATCTAATCTCAGATATGGAGTTTTGGCCTCCCCACCTTTGCGGAAATACTTCGCTCGCCTGCCACCCGATGCCCAGTCGACAAATATCTCGGTCGTGCTCAAATGCGGCCACAAGATGGGAAAGGTGGAGAAAAGGGTGATTTGGCTACTTCGCACTCTGTCTGAGAATGGCCCTTGCTTGTCTTCGGTTGGTATGCCTCTGATTGTGGACGAGCTAGAGCGACTCCTCCAATCAGATCCAAGAGCTCGAGACCTACTCTCTTCATACGTCACCACGGTGGTTGGTGACATCTCCATCATTTCCCAGTGTTTACACCAGTTGGAGACTTATTACCCGTGGGCCCGGGGATTTGCCATTGAACTTTCTCAGCGCGAGGCAAACTTTGAGCAGGACTGCGTAGAGTGGACCAAGCCATGGGCACAGGTCGTCGAGAGCCTTCGTGATACAACCATCCTCACTCCAGCCGCGAGACTCGGCGACCCTTCAGGGGGAGATTTACCTATCCCGTCAAAGGGCGTCGTACTAAGGAGAGTGTGGCGGCGCTGCGCAACGCTGAAGCCCACCTGGATGCTTTCTGGGCTGATATTGACCGGGTTATGATCGGCTTTAGCGATAAGTCGAGTCGCACGGCTGTGTGGAGTCTCCTCTCCCAGCAGCGCATCTTAAAGCGCACTACAGAGTGGATTGAGCCGATAAAGCCTTCGACTGCAGGAACTGCGGATATTAAAGGAAAAGGCGCCATAGATACCTACTTCGCATACGATCCTACTTCTCGAGTCTCTTCCAACCTTTTGACGAAATCACTCGATGTCACAGAACCCAGAAGGAAAGTCAAAACCCGTGGAATATCTCAGCCCCCCGTAGCCATTGCAGAAGCGGAAACTCTCACAAGACCCGATACTGCTGGTCGTGAACCAACGCTTTTTGTTGATGAGCGTGCGCTCAAGGTCTTCCAAACAATCTTTTTCAATCCTACTCTGACATCCACACCGGGAGAAGTCCCATGGAACGACCTTTTGCATGCAATGACTTCAGTTGGGTTCACGGCGATGAAGCTCTACGGGTCGGCCTGGCAGTTTCAGCCGACCAGGCCGAATTTCAAGAGGGGTATACAATTCCACGAGCCCCATCCGCGGAGGAAACTCCCATTCAGAGTTGCTCGCCTTTATGGCCGCATGCTAAACAGAGCCTATGGTTGGGACGGATATATGTTTGCCTTGGCAGGGAAGTGAACCAGGAATGAGAAGTGAAAGTCAGCTGAGAAGTGAAAGTCAACTGAGAAGTGAAAGTCAACTGAGAAGTGAAAGTTAGCTGAGAAGTGAAAGTTAGCTGAGAAGTGAGAGTGAACTAATGAAATCTTTGATGACAAATACTTACTTTCGAGATGGTCACCATATCAAGCTTGAGTATATACACCCATGTATAATATACCCCAGACTGCAATGTGAGATGGTTGATCACAGCACGGGAACATGCCATTCTCTGTTGCAGCGTTATTGTTTGTTCGCAACTGTCTTGGTAGTTGCGCAGCAAGATGTCAATTCTTGTAAGGTCCTCGCTCATCGTCGTGAGCGACCTCGCCGTAATGGTAGTGGCAGATATATCTCGCACGTTATCATTCATCAAGAGTGGGGCTGTCCGGGCAGCAGCGTAAAGATATTCGAGCAGCTCACACTTATCATGCTCATTTTTCATGTGGGCATGGAATGCGTTGAGAGCCTTCACAATGTCTTGGGCGGCAATCAAACATTTGACTGCACTGTAGTACACGAGGCCGAGGACAGACGCATCCACCGAGTCAATATTCGTTCTAGTGAGATGAGGGCTACCTATGTTGTAGATAGGTAAGAATAGCCCCCAAAGTCATCTTCGTTAGCGCATTCGAAACTTCGGTTATGTGGGGCCGGATGGCGGGTGGCCCCACCTAACTCGCCCGCACATCGTCCAGGCCCTGTACAGACCCTGTACAGACCCGATATTGCTTGAAATTCATATCCTCCCTATCATTCTAGAGAAGCACTAGAGAAGCAACTCTGGGGCCACATTTGGGTGATGATGGATTTTAGACCATGTTCATATTAGGCATTGCCCTAGCATTGGACGGATAGTAGCACTGGAAAGGTCATAGAATGTTACAGACATTAGTACTAAGTCCGGTAAGGCTTGTCTTCGTTTTTTTTTTTTTTCTTGCGTCGCGTGCCTCTACACCGACAATCTATATATGTATCCCACATTTCGCATTGATTGGTCCGTTTTCTAACCCCTGCTAGCATGGTATAGTTCTCGGCTCATTACGGAAAACTCCGTACTCCGTACTCAGGTATGTACCCAGACGCGTACACCGGACTTGTAAACTGGTTGTTGTGGGGCGTAGATTATCAAGAAATCCTTCGCCAAGCGTGCCTCTGTTGAAGCCCTTCCAAGGTTAAAAGGACACCGGTCCCCTGCCCCTCTGACTTTCTTCGGGAATTATCCCCCATTCCCAATACATATTAGTTTTTATTATTTTTTTTTATATTTTTATATTTTCGTTTGCTTGCATCATGGTCGAAATCCAGGACTATACAAAGGCTCTAGAGGTGCTCAAGGAGTATCCTGGGGATGGCCTCCACGTTGATACTCTCCTTGACTCGGATAGTCATGGAGCCTTGACCTACAATGACTTTCTCATTTTGCCCGGTTCTATCAGTAAGGCAACCAACCATGGCTTAGTGGTTGTTGTTTCTAATCTTCCGAACAGCTTTCCCGGCATCTGATGTTTCTTTGGAAACCAAAGTAACCAGGCGCTTCACCATCAAGGCCCCTCTCCTGTCTTCTCCCATGGACACTGTGACCGAACACAACATGGCCATCCATATGGCTCTTTTGGGCGGTTTGGGTGTTATCCACAATAACTGTCCGCCAGACGAGCAGGCTGAGATGGTGAAGAAAGTGAAGCGTTATGAAAATGGCTTCATTCAGGACCCCATCGTTCTCTCCCCGGAGACAACAGTGAGAGAGACAAAGGAACTGAAGACTAAATGGGGATTCGGCGGGTTCCCCGTGACTGGTTAGTTGGATTTCTCCTAGGATTTTGCCTCTTGCGCTTTGTTTCGTTTGGTGGTTCTTACCTTATTCCGTTCACAGAAAAGGGAACCCTCCACTCAAAGCTTCTCGGCATCGTCACCAGCAGAGACATCCAGTTCCACAGGAACCCCGAGGATCTAGTCACAGCTGTTATGGCCACAGACCTCGTCACTGCACCAGCAGGTACCACCCTCACCGAAGCAAACGAGGTCCTCCGGAGTTCGAAGAAGGGCAAACTGCCGATTGTGGATAAGGATGGATCCCTAATCTCCCTACTCTCGCGGAGTGACTTGATGAAAAACATTCACTATCCCCTTGCATCGAAGCTTCCATCCAAGCAGCTACTCTGTGCTGCGGCCGTGAGCACCCACGACGCGGATAAGGTCCGTCTCCAAAAGCTCGTCGACGCGGGTCTGGATATTGTCGTCGTGGATAGCAGCCAGGGCCACAGCAAGTTCCAGATTGCCATGATCAAATACATCAAGCAAACCTTCCCTGATATCGACGTTATCGCAGGTAACATCGTTACCCGCGAGCAAGCTGCCGCGCTGATCGCAGCCGGTGCCGACGGTCTACGGATCGGCATGGGCAGTGGCTCGGCGTGCATCACGCAAGAAGTCATGGCTGCTGGTCGTCCTCAGGCCGCTGCCGTGCGCAGTGTGTCTGCCTTTGCCGCTCGGTTTGGTGTTCCTACCATTGCCGACGGTGGTGTCCAGAACCTGGGCCACATTGTGAAAGGACTTGCGCTAGGTGCCTCGGCAGTTATGATGGGAAGCTTGCTTGCCGGTACCACAGAGTCTCCTGGTGAGTACTTTGTGAGCAGTGAAGGAAAGTTGGTCAAGGCCTTCCGTGGTATGGGCAGTATTGCTGTCATGGAGGATAAGAGCAAGAGTGGTGCTGGCAATAATGCCGGTGCTTCGCGGTACTTCTCCGAGAATGACAAGGTCAAGGTCGCACAGGGTGTTGCGGGCTCCGTGATTGATCGTGGCTCGATTACTCAGTTTGTCCCTTACCTCGTTGCTGGTGTGCAGCATTCTCTCCAGGATATCGGTGTCCAGAATCTCGATGCCCTACGTGATGGGGTGAACAAGGGATCAGTTCGCTTTGAGATGAGAAGCGCAAGCGCGCAGACTGAGGGCAATGTCCATGGCTTACACACTCACGAGAAGAAATTGTACTCTTCTTGAATATGGGACCTGGGCTTTCCTCGCATGTGGCCTGGAGTTCGTTCTATCTCATGTATCAAACCAAAAGTTAGTCAATACACTCATATATATCTCCGTTTGGGAAATTTTTCGCCTCTTGAAAACCTTGAAATAAACGAGTTACAAGAAATATACCAATTTTGAGAAATTTGCATTAGGCTGCGAAGGACATTCGCAATTAGACGCGTAACGGCCAAACCTGGGCATATCTAAATTCCATAAAACATTAGCCGAGAACCCATTCTGATCTACTTAGTAAAACTCCATGTTTTTTCGTTGAAATTAGATCATTTCAAGCAGCCGAATAAACAGCTTGAACTGATCATTGTTGAGTGCTTTTTGAAGCCGTCAGCCGCATTACCTTTCGTTGCTTTGCCTTCCACGATTACCACGGTTACTACCTCTACCGTCTCGGTTGCCGGCAGATTGTGCATTGGTAGTTCCGGTGTTTCGTTCAGTGACAGCCTGCAAAGCTTTGCAGTACTATTCTACGTGACTGAGAGTAATCTTCTTTGGTTCGATCCTACCAAGTTCCTCGACAATGAACTGAACCTTTGGGACTTCGTTCTCAAGTTCTGTAAGGATCTGGGCGAGAGCATGGAATGGGTGAGGTTGAATCTTGAATCTAGACAGCACATAGTACTGTTTCTGGAACTCAGTGATGAACTCCTTTGTCGAATTGAACTTTGAACGCTTCAAGTTGCTAAATCGACTGATCTCGTTGAGCGCATTGTCGCCCTTGAGGTTGCCTTGAACCATCAACATTATCTCATCCATCATCTCATCTGCGTATTTGGGAAGGATCGTCATGTTCTGGATTTTCTCTTGGAGAGTCGTGTCGATCTGTATGTACATCCAGCTTGCAATCGTGCAAGACCAGAACACCCATCTATCGTATTTCGGATGATCTGAAGAAGGTCTTGCGACATTGCTGTCAATGATCTTCCTCAAACGCAAAGGAGCAAGAGCGTATTCGACAACAATAGTCCAAGCACGTGGGTTGTTTGTGTCGTGTTCAAGCAACCCGAATTTCGGCATCTTTGTTAACACGATTTCAGGCACATCATCGGCCTGTGTGACCTCGACTTCGTGGTCGTTGATATCAGTGGTCGCCGGGTTCGGTGCACCGGGGGGCAAAAGCTGGGGCTGTTGTGTGGGGTAGCCATTCCCATTTTCCGAATCGGACATCGTCGACGATCGGATTGGTTCGTGTTTTCGTCGGAATATTGTTGCACTGGAACGGCTTTCTGAATGGCGACAAATCTGCAAAGTGAGCGAATCACCAGAGAAGAAAAGTGAGTCCAAGAAAGAAAACTTCAGAGGAAAAGGGTGCTAGTGGTCCACCTAGCAGAAATAGGCGCTCATAATCCGATGGAGGTTGCTACGATGGATTGTTATGGAGAAGCAATGCACTTGGATTCGTAGGTAGCGAATTGGACAAAGAGGAGAAGGAGAGAAGAAGAGAGAGAGAGAAGCTCTCTACTACATGGGGGTGGATCTGTCCCATGTGGGGCTATATGCCCCAGGCACAACAGTATCCTAATATAATATGTAATCGATGCTATCAATTCGAATAATCTTCCCCTTGTTTTGCCTATGGGGTAAGGAGAGATCGCTAGTAGGCTTCACCATGTGTCTAGTCAATTGCATTCTCTCGCAATGGATGTTCCCACTCAACTGATGCCAAGAACGGTTCGTCAACATGAATATAATTCAATACCAACGCTTTCCGAATCCTGTTGGCGGCAAGCGAGTTCACCATCGAGGTTAACACCCAATCGTACGACATAACATATCGACTCATAAAGTAAGAAAACCAATTTGCCCAGGCTTGCATGCAGGAAACGTAAAGGGACTGGTTCCCGTCGGACTTCACCGGAGCTGATCGGGTCTGCTGGTAGTCTGCGAACATCTTACCCAGAGTGACTACATCCGGCAAATCGGTCTCAGACCTCGTTTCCAGTATCTGATGAAGTCCGTTGCACAAAGCCACCACATCCTGGATCCCATTGTTAAGGCCGCGTCCCGCGTTAGGCGTAAATTTATGACAAGCATCTCCAGCCAAAACAATTCGCCCCCAACTCCAATGCTTCAGGATGCCTTCCTCCAAATTTGCCATCCCATCGTTCAGACGAGAATCGTACACGTCATAAACCTTTAATTTGTCGGTTACCGGAAAATCAGCAAATTTAGCTGCAAAGGCTTGTCTATCTTCCTCGGAATAGTCCACGCGCGACGTCGTCGGCTCAGACAGTCTCTCGTAAAGAAAGATCCACCCCAGCTCCCGGCCGGCTAGGAACATGGTTGACATATTCTGGGACTGTGTATCAGTAGATTGTCCACAGTCGCCGACCCGAGGGAAGCTGCACCGCATGCATTTGTAGAGAGCCGGGAAGGGGACGGCCGCATCCCAATCACGCTGAGAGTCTTCCAGGGCTTGTTCGCGCATTATCCGACGAGATTTGCTGTGTACGCCATCTGCCCCAATGACAATAGATCCGTCGTAAGTGCTTCCATCGGTGCAAGTGACACGCACTCCAGTCTCATCGGATTCAATAGAATCTACCTTCTTATTCAGAAGGTAACGATCCTTCGCCACTGCGGGCAAGCTCTCGAACAGAGCTTCAATGAGTTGGGCGCGATGAAATGCGACTGGCGCAGTTCCGTGACTGATAAGAGGTGGTTAGTATAGTCTCTTTTCACGAGTAGAGGAGAACCGTAGAGCGGATTCCTTATCAAAAGCATCATGGAAAACTTACTTCTTTTCTAAGACTTGAAAGATTTCTTGAGAGCTAGCAAATTGATATGCATCTCGTGTCATAGACTGGGTGTGCTGAAGCTCTCCTCCTATCTTCAACAGTCGTTCCAGAACTCCCAACTGATGCATGATTCTGAGACTCGGCGAAGATAAAACAAGGCTGGCACCTTGATCTAGAACCGTAGAGCTCCTGGATTCAAGGATTATAAAGTCAATGCCTGCGTGATGAAGGGCGTGGGCGGCGGTTAGACCCACTGGGCCACCGCCGACGACAATGACTTTAAATGATTCAGATACCATTGAGTTGGCTTATACTTTCAGAGTATGAGACCAAAGGGAATGAGGAGAAGAATTGTACAGAATAATGTACATCACGAACGATCCTTGTTACTTGGACAGGGCTTTATAATATTTTATTTTGTTTTGTTTTTACTTTTAAACGTACTTTTATAGATCCCTAGGCGCCAACGGACCCTCCAGGGCTCCAAGGCTTCATATCTGGGTTACACAGCGGAAGTACCAGCGCCGGGTGTCGGACTCCGCTGAGTCATCGGTTAGCGCTCCCGAGGTCCCGAGGGCCCAAGGTCCTTTTCCGGTTTAGCTTCCACCTTGGCCATACCCATATATAATAACCGGGATTTTAGCTCTTTCGGCCTTAGAACGCATTTGCCATGTCCAATAATATCCCTATCATCTTCGTAGTAGTCCGCTAAGTCAAACCGACACCCCGTATGGATAGGCCAGGCCTTTAGGGCAAGCTTTCCTTTATAACGGTCCCACCATTATGCCTTTGATGACCGCCTTCTAAATATGGGACAGTGGGGCGGGGCGCCAGGCCCCACTTAGTTTCTTCTCCCCATACTCCATTTATCTCATCTTCATCCGTCGAATTTCATCTAGTTGTAGTCTAGTGGAGATCCTCTTTAACGACAATTCCATCTAGTAGATGTGTGACCTGGTTGAATGTGCATTTCTACCTTCTTCAGGCCATATCTACAGGTTTCATCCGTGTTGTTTGTTGTTCCAAGCTTTGAATTTCGGCCTCGGACCGATCCTCTCATACTTCGTCGACGTGGATCAGGACCTTTCGTTGACTACCTAGGTAGCTTAATCTTGATCCTTGTGCCCGATACCCGTTTATCTTGGATCCTAAAGCTCCTGTCCCATGCCATGGTACGTGCCCTTTTTCTCTGTAATATTTGGTCCGGTTTGCTCATTCGCCAGACTACTTCGGTCCACACGCAACCACCTCTCCCCGCCTCCGAGGGTTTTCCAGCAGGAGGCAGCACCGACAGCAAAGGAATGGCAATCCCTATGAGCTTTCCAGGCGGGCACACTCCGGCTCGAGTTCCCCAGGATGTCGAAGCCAGCTCATCTGCCCCCGCCCCGTCCAAAGATGCCCCACTTACATTTACCTTCGCATCCATCCGCCGAGTGGAACCGACACCTCATATCAACACACCAGGCCTTCGGGCCAAAGTCTCCTTTATGACGAGTATCGAAACTCCTGATGAAGAAACAATGGTTCGGTCACTACACCCTTCATTAGCAAGTTACGAACAAGTTTCCGTTGTTGAACATGGTCCAGTGGCGACACCCCTGTGGCTCATCAGTGCTAGTAGTGCGAAGAACATCAAAAGCACACATGTCGCCGGCAGGGAAATACACGTCCTGCCGAAACAATTAATTCCACCTGTTTCATTTCAAATGGTGCCGACACGTTATACGACTATCAAGACGATAGACCCCCGGACTTTTCTGCCGCCTGAGCATATAAAATCAATTCGTGATGCCTTCCCTGGTTCCGTGGGCGCACAAGTACTCCTGACTGGTTTTCTGTTAGTTGTGTTTCCGGATAAGAAATCGCTAGAGGCATGCTGGGCTAAGGGTGCCCCAGACGAGGTCGGTAATTTACGTGTTGGGTATATTCTAGCATCGTTTTATGGCACAGCTGAAATTGTCGAGTCTGGTCGAGGCGTCACCGATACGCCAGGAGGCTTCAACCCGCAGGCCGCACTGGGCCTACGATTACGGCTCCCAGGTGGTCTAGACGCAATAACGACAGTGACACATGCATTTGTACGTCTTACCGATCCCAAAATGTCAAACATAAGAAAACGTCTTACGGACCATATCTTGGCCGCGAAAGAATTCCTCAAGCGGTTACGACCACCACCGAGACAGGCCCCACAGGCCGGTATTATCCACTCAGAACGGGTTGCAAACTCACCCCTTGGCAAAGAAGTATGGTTAGGCGGAACAGAGACCTATGTATGTATAATCCTTCCTTCGGTGGGCGGGTAGGATGCAAAATGTAAGTAACACGAACCTACCTCAACAGATCGGCACTATTACAGTCACGTACGACCGACTGTCAAGACACCGCTTTATTCCATATCCATATGGATTTCAGCATGATCTAAGTTTGGTTACCGGCCCGAACCTCCCCCAGCTGACGAATCCCCCGAACACCCCCCGTGTGACAGAATGGGGTCCGTATGAAGAGGCGCTTCAAGGCCGGCCGGTCTTCGTGCACAGCCACAATGTCGGAACGGGACACTGGCGCACCCACCAAGGCCACGGGGTAGCAACACAAGTCCAGCAGTCTATCATCCATGGCACCCAGTACAGCTGGGAGCAAAGGTCACGGGATCATGCTACGGCTTTATTATGGAGGACTGTTAGAGATACTGATAGCGTTGCACGAGCATCAGGCAGTGTCTTATGCCTAGGCGAGCCACAGCACGAGACGGCCAGAGCACTCCTCTTCCAGAACTTTCAGGGAACCCTAATGGCCAGTGACCTTGTGAATATCGATGAAACAGAGGATTACCCTACCTTCAAAGGGGGGTTCCTCTTGCCTCAAGAGATCAGAGACTCGCGGATCATTACTGCAGAATATGTACACCCTGAAGACTTCCGCACTCCCCAGAGGAGCTCCAACTCGGGGGTCCCTATGCAGCAACATGGTATGACGGTGTAAGACTGTTTAAGATGAGACTTGTTCCAGTGGACATTGGGTTGCAGTGAGAATCAGGTAGACATTAATTCACCATTGTTTAATCAACTATTCGCTGGCAGACTCTCTACTTATTGGGTGCTTATCTGATCCCATAACTATACCAAGATAGACTGGGTGAGAGCTAGGTGAGAATCACCCAGGCGTCGCGCGACCACCGTACCTAGGAAAAAGATTTTCTGCCCGGGGCGCTACGCTCTACAATGATGCAAATTTGGCCTGAAGCCAGCCCTAAGAATCAAGGGAAGATAACTGGAACATGAAAATCAATCGGCAGTATTAATGAGCACTCGAAACAAAGCTAGGCTAGCTACTCCCTGGCCTTCAAAGCTTCTATAAACGCGCGCTGTCTCTCGATTGTAATGTCGGCTTGGGAGACTCGATGGCCTTGCCATACACGGAAGATAAACCGGTACCAAGTCATCTTCTTCGTAGCTATCACGTTGGTATGGTCTTGAATGGCTTCCTAGGACCCCAATGTTTCAACCAATGCAAGTATGAGGTGCTGTGAAGGTTTCCCCCTCTGTAGCCTCATACCAATTGGAGTGGTATTGATATTTTGGGCGAGTAACATGTTCTATGTCTTTGGCGGTCGGTAGATCCTTTGCGTACCAGGATGACGCTTATATCAATGTCATGATGGGTAGTCGATGTTTGCCTGCCGCCTGAGGTATTTAGCTTCGTACATCGCGCCTAGTCGATAGGCCGTGATTTCGGTAAGGTCGAGCAGATTTTCCTTTGTAAAGCTTTCGCCTTTTAGGGCTTGCCGGAGACTATTTTGGCCGGAGTTGTCAGGGCCAGGTTGCGCTGCAAAGTACTCGTCAGCAAGGTACTGCAAGCGCTTAAGAGGGCGTCTGTCTACGCCGGGTAATCCTTCGTTCGTTGAAGCGGGGGTAGATGATGGCCGCACATATCGAAGAGCTTACCACTTTTCCTTGTAGCTCATAAATAGCGTCTTCAATCACAACAGTCTACCCTACAAATGTCCCATCCCTAAACTAGCGGCCAAGAGATCTGCCTATTGCATTGAACATATATAGCTATGATTTTGAATTCTTCCTTTAACTACCCTCTCTACAATACAATATAATTCAATTCAGATTCAACTCAGATTCAGTTCAGATTCCATTCAGATTCGGTTCAGATTCGAGTGCAAAGAGCCCGATTTTAAAAATTAATACCAGGGGGCTTTGGTGCCCCCGGACCCCCAACCTCTATTGCTGAACGTTAGCTTAGTGCTCCTTTTTAAGCATCAATCTTAATGCGTAGGTAGAGACGATTAAGTATCTCATATATATTGAATCTGCTATATAGAGAGATGTCAGTTGTTGCTGTAGAGTAGCAGTATAATTACCGCGCTCTGTGTGCTCTTCTCTTCTTCCACTCTCCTCCTCGGCAACAATCACCACTTCACGTCTACAATTTCACCAATCACGCACTTCGTTGACTTGACGCTTTCTTTGTTCCTGCTGGTAAGAGCCATTTGATCTAGTCGTCTCATGCCGCTGCTAACTCGCTGTCCTATCTTATGAAGCTGAGCCTCACTCTCCTCTGGCTGCTGGAGCCGACTCTCTGTTTGTTGGGTTGGGCTGTCGTTGGTAAAGGTACAATCCCTTTTTCTTTGTTTCCTGATGGTTACTGACCGGTGGTAGATGCCCCTCGTGCGACCTGCCCTGCCCTGCCTCCCCTGCTTCCCCTACCCGTCCTGTCTTTCTCCGTCGGCGCTGTTAGTACGTTTCGCAGCATCCTCGCTTTCAGTTCGTAGTGTTCAACACAATCATGCGTCACCAGGCGGCGACGAGTGCAGAATTTCATGTCCGACGCTAGGCTGATAGACCGGATATCACGATCGAGGACCTCCAGGAGCTCTTTATGAATGATGGACCTAAGAGCCATAGTCTACTCTCCAGTGCTTCTCGCCTAGCGGATATTCTGCCAGAAAAGCGCCCATACTGGGCTCGGAGACGAAACGACTATGGTAAGGATGCTTGGGCCTGCGCACCTTTTCGTCACGTTCTCCACAACGGATCTGCATTGGGATGATCTGATGCGATCACCTTCCTCGGTATGACTTGAAGGCTGCCGATACTACCGAGAGGATGTGCATCGCCAGTATTAAGCTACGGCACAACCCCCATATTGCGGCCCAGTGGTTCTACCTCCGCTTCGATGTTTTCCGCGAGATTGTTTTGAGACCGCACTTTGCAATTATTAACCACTGGGACAGGATCGGATTGAAGACTGTGAGATCACATGGTCGGATAGAGAAGGTCGAGCTGTCTTGCTGAGATTCTCGGCCGACAAGGCCCCTGCGACAAGCCTCATGGCTGTCTATGCCCCAAACGTAGAAACCGAAAAGGTGGCCTTCTGGAAAAGGATGGCTCTGATCTCAAGTACCGAAAAACCGGATATTATCTTAGGGGATCTAAATACCACCTTAGATCCTATCGATAGAAATCCGGTTCGGGTTGAGGATCTGCGTGTTCGTAAAGCCTTTCAGGACTTTATCACTATTGGAAGTGTCGTGATGGAGGATGGGTGGCGAGAAACCTATCCCGACACGAAGCAATATACTTGGTGGGGCCATCAAGGGGTAATTGCCTCGAGTCGTATCGATAGGATCTACGTGACCCCCTCGAAGTTTGATAAGTGCCTGCAATGGTGGATCGAGCAGACTCCGGGTTGGACAGATCATTCCATGCCTGTGATGGATTTCTGTCCAGAAGGAAAAGTGGAGAGGGGAAAAGGTCAGTGGTATATGAACGCAAATTTGTTCAACCACGCCGAAATGCGTGCGGGTCTGAGGGCTGTGTTGGATGAATGGCTCCCTAAGTTGGGCTAGCAATCAGCCCCTCTTATGGAGACTGATCCACCGGATCGGCAGAGGGCCGAGAGGTTCATCCAGAGCGCTGTGGATTTTCTTGAGGATGTGGGGGAACAAGCTAAGGTCTACCAGGACCAGATCGCTAAGAAGACCAATCAGACTCAGGAGAAACTGGAGCGGAAGATAGCTACTCTGGGTGGATTTGGTCCAGTCCGCGCCGTCGGAGTATTTGGTGAACAATCATCCCACGCATGCATGTTTCCCATTTGCAGTTTGTTATTTGCTACAGACTGAGCATAGTTTAGATGGTTTAACAGGGTATACAAACCCCTGAATTTCCAGTTTAATCAATGAATGATTCTTCCTCTGCTTTCCCCCCTACTGTAGTACTACATTCCGCTTGAGTTGCTGTAGTGGAAAGGAGAGCAGAAAAAGAGGAGGGGCAAAAAAAACGCTATTCGTATGATCTTCGCCTCAAAATTCACAAGTATACCTTTCACCGCACGGGCTGAATGTCTACATGGACTTCCCTGAAAAAAAAAAAAACCGAGTAAAGCGGCGAGTCGCCCACACCAGATCCGCAGGCGCTAGGTAGCCACCACATTGCACAAAATGGTGTCGGGTTCCAGTTCAGATAGCCCTGGCACTTCCCGAGGTCTCAAGTTACGATTATATGATTTCTAGTTATAGGGGCTAGCAAGAGAAGAGGGAGAGTGTTAACTGCCGAGAGAGAAGAAATCAAGCGATCAGTTCAAGAGGCTAGAGGCCCGCGAGTCCCGCACAACGTGGAAACAAGCGACCCCATCGTTTGCCAGTTGTGCGACAAGCCCATATTCCCAGTCAAGATACCCTTGCATATCCTTACTGGCGTTGCTTGTTCCTTCATACGGCCTTTTATACACGTCAATTGGCTGCGAAATCCACCGTGCTTCGGTCTCGAGGGGATGGCCGGCAGCTACCCAGGCACTTGTCCCTCCCGCCAAATAGAAAACTTCTCTGGAGACGGAGTTCCGTGCGTCTTCGATATTCATGAGGGCAACATCACCATCGGGTGAGGTTAGCACGATAGGGCCGTCACCGTTTATAACTTTCAGATCTCGGGCAATTTCCGGTCCAGAAGCAAACCATGCCCCCGGAATGTGGCCCTTGTGGTAGGTCGGACTGCGGGCAAGGTCGATGACAGTGGCTCCTGCGAGATTTTGAAGGTCATTGATTGTGATAGCGCCATTCTTTGAAGGATTCCACAAAGGTACTTCAGGCCATGGAAGCCCATCTGGTACTTGGGATTGTTCTTCAAAGACATGCACCTCCCATCCGAGTTGTACGAGCCAGCTGGCTGTCGTGCGCGCTCGCACACCATCCGTGTCGTATAGAACAATGCGACCTCCTCGAACGCCAATCCATTCGTCGGTGGCTTGTACCAATTGACCACCAGGGGCATTGGAGAAGCCGATCGGGTGTCCAAGGGCGTACTCTTCCGGGTCTCTCACGTCCAGCAGGTACAAAGTGCGATCTTCCAACTCCGCGGTAAATCGAGTGAGCTGATTGCCATCAATAAAAGAGACCCCGACGTGATTCGCCCAGGATTCAGCATATTGCCGTGCCTTTTGCGATGCCTCGACCGAAGGACTTGGGACCCGTTCCGTCTTTTTGGTCTCCAATTCCAGACCCTCCAATGTCCACCCGATCGTCCCATTTCGGAGCGCGACCACCTTATTCGGGATCCCAGAATTGATCAAAGATTGAGTTCCAACAATACTGCGCGTTCGACCTGCACAGTTGACGATGACTGTGGTGTCCGGAGAGGGAACAGCCTCAAAAAAGCGATACAAAAGTTCACCCCCGGGACAGCTGCGGCCATGGGGGATACTCATGGTATTATACTCCACAAAACGTCTAGCATCCAATACAACCACATCAGCTTCGCTCGCCAGAACATCCTTCACATCTCGCGCAGATAAGGATGGGGTGTGATTAATGGATTCGACGAGCTCGCCAAACGCCTTAGATGGCACATTGACATCGCGATATACCTCACCCACGAGCGCGTAGCCAGAAAGCCCGCCTTTCAAGATGGCAACGTCCCGATACCCAAGGGCTGATATCCGGGTGGTAGCACGATCTGCATAACCTTCGCCGTCGTCGTAGACAACAATCGGAGCCGACAGTCGAGGAACCAACGGAGGCAACTTCTTCTCGATCTCTGAGACTGGCACACTTAGTGCGAATAGAGGGTGGGACTCGGAATAGGGGCCTTCTTCGCGGACGTCGAGGAGAGCAATTTCACGTTGGGTTATCCAATGCTGGCGCAACTCGCGTGCGGTTATATATTTCGCCATTTCGCAGTTCAGATCCCGGAATAACTGATTCTCTGATTATTTGAGATTGGGAAGGAAAGAACCGATCGAAATAACGAACGGAGCGATCTTGCACGATATCTCGGGTGTTTTTTCTCGGAGGTTTTTGGATGAACCCGCAACTCACGACAGTCCCAAACATTGATATTCAGAAGCACACGCTATCCTTACGGTTTTGTTATTTTCTATTGATGCATTTCATTATTATTCCTGATTTTGAATGATGCATAGAATCTGTTGCTCAAGACGCTGCTGTACCCCGCTCGAAGCTCGGTTGACGCCATCTCAGCGCAGGATGACCAATCGTGCGATTCCACCTGGTGGACATCAACTCCCCGACCTCGGGCCTTGTCTTGCTTGTTAGATCAAACTGATACATTCAACAGAGTATGAACCCCACACGACAGCGAAATTCCTGCGAAGCATGCCGTAAGTCGAGCCGTCCTCCATTTCCTTGAATGCGTAGCTAATGATATATAGGGGCCCGAAAGCTCAGGTGCTCAGGCGAAAAGAGCGGTTGCTCTCGTTGCCGGGGATTAACATTGACATGTAAATTCAAAGACAAAGGAGCGCCTGGAAGGCCGAGAAAGCGTGCACGACAAGAAGAACCAGATCATCATTTGGTCGACGGCGAGGAACAAATAGGATCGTCAAGCTCCTCTCACTTATCGCCTATTGTTTCTCAGTCGCCTTTTGGCCCTCACGAGGCCGGCAATATGCTAATGGCAGCCGGCGAATTCGACTCATTACCATACGAGCTATCAGGGAACTGCGGATTCGATTCCTCCCACTGGGAGATGCTGGGGAACGGCGATATGTGTTCCTTTCCCCTTGGGTTATTGCACACATCCCGCCATAACGCATTACACGACCCTGAAATACCTCCAATAGCCTTAGATCCATACATCTCTCCCATGTCATTCTCACAGTCTTGTAAATGCGACGAAGAGGTCTCCGATCTAGTTCGGAATCTAAGCTGCGCGGATATGTCACACGATATTATTCCGGTGCTTCGAACAGGCGTCTCACTCACAGAGCGACTACTGATCTGTCCTATGTGCTATGATGTGTCAAAACCACCGCGATTAACGGTCCAAAATGTGCTTCTCATCGGCCAGCTCATGCTCGAAGTAACAGCCGGCTACCAAAAGTACATCCGATGGCTGGATAAACACTGCACTGAACTCGACTCCAAAAGTGAGACTAGAACGGTCTATCTTGACTCCGGACTTGGAGTTCCATCAGAACTAAATTTGCAAATCGGCGGCGAGAAACTCAGAGATCTCGTGGTGCACGGCCTCCAGACAGATGCCGAACGGCTTTTCGTGCTGGGCAAACAGTTTGCGCAGCGACAACGCAATCGCCATATGGTTGGCCACGAAACTTGTCCTAATTCTGAAGGTCGTTGTCGGAGTAAGGAGGATGCTGTTAATCACGACCCGCTCGATCTATGCCCGCATGATCCAATAGCCCGGAAATTGGTCCCTTGTTTCCGTATCGTTGATGAGGTTCGCGGGATGATCAAGCAAGTTGCAGATGCCGTTGTGTGATACCCCGTGTTTATGACATATTATTTTCAGTGTGGTTTTGAAGATCATGAGGGGCAGACATTACATTCGGTGTTTCTTTCGGTGCCCCGATCTATCTCATGTCCTTCTACGTGTCTTGAACAAGAAGCCAACAAGACAGTATTGATTTAATCAAAGAGTTCATCTAACCCTTACACGTTGACCCAACACTGTGGCAACCATTCACTTTAGGCTTCCCACAAGACGAAGGCAATTTCCCAAGCCGGCAAAAGCATGAAGAAGTGATCTCAACATCTGCCTCCACAAGAGCAAGGGAAAGTTGTTTGTTGATAATATTTGCCTCCGCATGGCGACCTAAAAGCCCAAGGCACTCGTGGTAGCCATGCAAAGCCCAAACGTTATTCGGGTGTTGATGGGCGCGTTTGGGTGTTGGAGACAACCCCAAATCTTCAGCATAGGCCTGGGCAGCCTGTTCAACTCTACCCTGTTCCAATGAGAGGGCTGCATATGGATGCCGGGCAGGAAGCATCCACCCCCATGGCTCTGCGAAAGGCAGCTCGTCTTCCAGAGTAATTGCTTCCAGTAATCTGGAGAATGCTTCCTCATAATTCCCTCTTCTATACTCGATTTCGCCATCCAGCATGGAAGATGCAACCTTGAGAATGTCGGTGATTTTATTCGGGAAGTCGAGGCGTGTAGGAGGGACGAGCGTGGAAGCAATCTTGAAAAGTTCCCGTTCTTTGTCGGCTTCCTCGAGCTGAGACGTAGCCGCATACGCGATGGCCTTTCCATAGTGTCTCATAACATTCGTGACACAATATAGATCCTTATCTTTGAGCGGGTCGAGCTTCTTGAGTTCTTCCCACATCCCAAAGCGAATAAGCACATGGACTCTGACAGCCTTGAAAAATTCCATCCAGTTTGCAAGTGCAGGCGTTTCGACGCGGAGGATTTCTTCCGTGATAGTCGCCTCCATTCGATCCGTCGCGGACAACGCAGCTTTAGATTTTCCACTGAGCATGGCAGCGTAGATGAGAGAATGATAGTCGTGTAGACGGTAGTAACTGTAGAATGTCAAGCCGCCATTCTGCTCAAAGTATCTGTCATCTGCGAGGGTCGCTTTCAGATTGTATTCCACTGCGCGGCGATAATCGCCCACAAGAACATCAATGTGAGCAGGCATGTGGAAAGTGTGGCCTGTATCGGGAAAGATTTCCCGGATCATCTCTGCTGCCGGCAGAGCAGCCTCAGGAGTGGCCGACATTTCCATCAAGTGGATATACATATGCGCGGGACCAGGATGGAATTCGACTTTCGGCATCTTCAGAGCGCGATCAAGTAGATCTTTCACTTCGAAAACCGGGGATGAGGGTATCGGGAGCCCCGTGGAGGCATCATATAACTTTCGCGGAGCACAATTCATCAGTGCATCAGCGAAGAGTGTGACAATGTCGAAATCTTCGCGACCGAAATCTATATACACCTCTCTCATAGCATCGGCGTACGCTCGACTACACCCGGCGAGATCCCTACTTGGGTCATCGTTGGGGTAACGTTCTGCAAGAGCCTTGATGAGCGCTTGCTCCCAATCCGATGCATTGCATGCCCGCCTCAACGCTTCTTGGGAAAATATATAACACTGTTTGATCGCATTCAGCCGGTCTCTTTCATCGAACAGTGTCCATGTCTTGTTGTAATTGGAGCCTGAGCAGAATGATATTCCCCAATAGGCCATGGCGCAGTTCTCGTCGTGCGCAATTATCTGCTTGTAGCAGGTAATTGCTTCATCGTGATTAAAGCAATATGTCCAGACAAGTGCTCTGTTGAACCATATCTGGGCTTGCTGGGAATTGGTGCTGACCTTGCGACCGAATGTGCCCAAATCAAAGTAGGGGTCGCTAGAAGCTCTTGCGGGTGGCTGGGCGTCAGCAATGTCCATTGTGCAAGTTAGATGGGCCGTGGAACAACTATGCTGTGTTCAGAAACCGTTCTGCAAATAAGAAATAATGTCGAATCTAAAATAGCACATGAAGAAGTTCCCACAAATTATGAGGGGTATGTATGGAGTCGGAGGGTTTTTATTAGCGGCGGATAGATCGCTGACCTCTCGGACCTTTTTATTTGGAAGCGCATGATGCGGAGTAATTGAACGTTGGGGTAAATAACATCATTTTTAAAGAAGAACTTACATGCAGGGTCCAGATTTGGGCTTTGGTCTATGAGCTACAACTTGTATACAGGGGCGGCCGCAATATATCTCTCAGTAGGGTTCTCCTTTAACGATTCTTCAAGTCATTGTCCACAACATCCTCCAAGATAGTCTCGCCTCTTTTTTCAGCCGCAACTTTAGCTAGCTTCAACCGCCTTGTATCACGCTCTGTATCCTGAGTTACCCACCATGTTATCACCGTCAAGATCGCGCAAGTGCCCACAAGACCCATAGCTACAGAGAATGGCACTGTGTAGTCTGGTGCGTACTTGCTTTGGAACAACTGCGGGCCGATAGCACCACCAATCTGGCCATAGCTGTTGACGAATCCGATAGAGAAGGCAGATCCCGTGGCCCGGGAGGTTGTTTGTACACGCCACGGCCTATCAGATTGTGAGCTATAACTATACATAAACACCCCATTGGGGTTCGCGGTAGGATATAAGAAACTTACCACATGACAGGATACCATCCTGAAGTCAAGGCATTTCCGATCAGGGTTACCGCGTAAATTGCACCATTGCTTGGATGAGCAACAAAGACGCCGTAGCAGACTAGGATGATGAGAAGGAAGGTGAGTGGGTACAATGGCCGGGGAATCCGGCTGCGATCTGCTGTAATTCCCGTGACCGCAATAAACAGGAGACCGCAGACTGTGATAGGGATATTGAGGAGTTGGGCTTGAGCAATACTCCTTATAGACTGTCAGTAATGCTCGTTGAAGTCATGCTTGTCTCTCCAACTGAATGCGGAGGGGTTATATAACTTACGTGTAACCGAGGTTAGCAATGACTGTTGATTGGTAGAAAGTGACGCCGTTGGTTCCAACAGTAAATGTAGCCCAAATGGCTGTAAATAGCCACAACCTGCGATCTTTCAGTGAGTCGATAACCTCACGTAGCTGAAAGTGTTGCTCGCTTGCACGAGGAGCATTAGATGGTAGTCGAGCCTGGATAAACTTCTTCTCCCGTTCAGTCAACCATTTGGCTGTCTCGGGAACTATATCGCATTTTCTCATATTAGCATCTGTGTTGTGAGAGCAAAAAAAGGACCCTTACAGTCTGGGAGCAGCAACCAAATCACAACGGAGAAAAGAACGGTCGCAATGCCTTCTGAGAGGAACAACCTAGAATAATTTTAGCATGTATTGAAGAAGAGGAGTGGATATAAAATTTACTTACCATTGCCATCCGGAAAGTCCCCCTGCGCCAGATACGGTGTCAAACGCATAGGCAAGAAGACCACCGAAAATACCAGAGACATTTCCACAAATATCTTTATATTAATTGTAAGTAAAGTTTCATGCAGCTTTCATGCAGCGCGAGTTGTTTTGGGGGCAGATCTTGTGCAGCTTACAAAAGTAGAGTAGTCGCAAGGACATCTCGTCCGGGCGATACCAGTAAGTCATCTGGAGAATAACACCAGGAAATTGTCCAGCTTCGGCCTGTTGCGGGGTTAATGTATTTTATCCTCACATAATGGGACTTATTGAGGCGGTAACTTACTACACCTAGCAAGAACCGTGTCGCATACAAGCCGCCCTTATTCTTCACGGCAGCATTGCACATGAGAGCGATACCCCAACTCAGCATAATCCTTGACTGCCATTTTGAGGGAGAGCATCTCTTGAGCAGTAAATTTGAGGGTGCTTCTAACACAATGTATGGGACCTAGGACGTTCGTTATTAGCGACATGTCGCCGCCCCTAAGTCGGGACTTCGTCAAAATCTTACATAGTAAAGGACATTCACAAGGTTGTACTCGTTGGATGTAGTTCCGAGCTGCGTCATTATATTCCGATCCGTTCCCTTGTTCATGATCCGAGCATTGGATGCCTGCGAGGCTGTAAGTTCTTTTGTACATCCTGGATGGACTGTTCATACGCACATTGTGGCTGTCCAGGTTCTTGAACATAAATATAAGCGAACAAAGCGTCATCAACCGCCAGTCAATCTTGCGTAGTAACTTTTTCTCTTCTTCCGCCGTGAGCAGTGTCCTACCACTCATAAGCTCTGGGTCGTAGCCATCGATGCTTTCCTGGCTTGATGAGGTCTCGGCGAGAGCTTCACCACGTCTGGCAAAATGGAGATCATGATCGGCATTGCTTTCATTGGTGGAAGTAATATCAGTGGCTGTGGTTTTACCCAGGTCTTTAGATGAAGTGCGTCCATGCTCTTCGTCTGCCATCGTCGCAACGTTGCTTTCGGCAGTACAGTGTTAAAATATCACTTTTGACAGTAGGTTAAAAGCGACCACCATTACTAGATATCAATGTCTCTCCTTTATTAGTTCGGAAACCCTCCGAGAAACATTATCGAAGCTTAGACCAAGCTCCAAACCTAGTACAACAAAGATTGTATCATAGTCCACAAGTATTGCAATTTAGATGGCCTAGGCCATACTATTATTGAGTCTGTAAATATAACATCTACGCAGTAGGATTCAAATCTAGAGGGCGACATCCTATTCGAATATTTCGGGAACAATCCGTTAGTCTCTTCAGTTATTCTCTCCCGGCGGGAATTCAGTCAAGTCGAGTAGTTAATATATTCCAGTTAACTAAGCACCCTTGCTGAATAAATCATTAGTCATTTTGCAGCATCTTCCAATATAATAGCTGGAAATAATCTGAATGGAGTGAAGTCGTGTATCACGGCAGAGTTCCTGATCACGCAAACGGAGGATATCATGATGAGATCTGAAATCCCACGTGGCGTAAAGTGGAGATCTACCTACATTCGCACTCATAATTTCACTCTGGATATCAACCTTGTGGGTTGTTAGTAGAATAGAGCTCGAAATTGCCCGATTGGAATAGATCAACAATAAGACCAAGGGTCAGTCCCGAAACTGATGTGAAGCCAAGGATATCGCAATATTGATAAACCCCCCAATTTCTCCCGTATAGTGATACGATTGTCTCCATAATAAAACTGTTTTACTCCAATTTACTGTGACGGTATTTATTTTGCAAATTTTGTCCAAATCTCTTGCATTAACTATGGCAACTTTGGCCCAACCTCCAGGCCCAGTTCCTACAGGATCCGATATCCCGACGTACAGTCAGGTTCCAGAGACTTCTTTTGATCGTAAGTTGTTGGAGTCCTCCATTCATGCTCTACCGTATAGCTGTGGAATTTGGTAACCCCTGTACTTGAAATAACATGGCTAATATGCGATTTGTATATAGTGGACTGGGCGGATCTTGCCACCTTGGATCTGTCTCTGTTTGACCAACCTGGTGGTAAAGACCGGCTAGCCAAGCAGCTCTTCGAGGCTATCCAGAACATAGGTCAGTAGTATATGGTTCGAATTGCCTACTTCCCATACTTGTCATACTTATCTGGCTTTAGGCTTCTTTTATATTACCAACTTCGGCCTCTCACAGGAAGACGTTGATCGACAATTCTCTATTGGCAAGGAGATATTCAAGCTCCCAGTAGAAGAGAAACTCAAATTCCGCGCGGAACTTGAAAAAGGCGGCTACAATGGCTACAAGCCAATGGGTCTGCGGGTAAGTCGAAAATCGATAATATGGGGCAAAAGAAGATCATCTCTAATATATTAGCTTAGGAAATCAGTGCGGGTGTTTATGACAACACAGAAATCTACAACATCCCCAAATTTATCCCAGCCCTCGAGCTTCCCCAACCAGACATTGTGAATCACAATCGTCCCATCATCGAGGGCTTCGCACGCCATATTCATGACCGAATTGTAGCCAAGCTTCTCACGCTATTCGCCATTATCCTCGAGCTACCAGAGGACTATTTCCTGAAGGTGCATCGCTATGATGAGAGGAGCGACTGCCACCTACGATACATGAAGTACCACCAACGTACAGCCGAAGAAAATGAGAAGGCCGCCGGGATTTGGTCCAAGGGTCATACCGACTTTGGCAGCTTGACCTTGCTCTTCCGCCAACCCGTTGCTGCACTCCAAGTTCGCACACCGGAGGGCGAGTGGAAGTGGGTCAAGCCGTATCCTGGGAGCATCACGGTTAATCTTGCGGACTCGCTCCATTTCCTCACCAACGGTTTCCTCAAAAGCAGCATTCACCGTGTAGTTGCACCGCCGCCAGATCAGAGGAACGTAGATCGTCTAGGTGTCTTGTACTTTGTTCGACCGGAGGATAGTCTCGAACTGCGGCCGGTTGTGAGTGAGGTGCTGCATCGTCTAGGATATGATCAGACGACTGATAATAGTGCGGTTGGTATCACTGCTGGTGAGTGGGTTAAGGCAAGAGTGGCCAAGGGGGTTGACAAAGGTGTGGCTCGGAGTGAAGTTGGAGATCAACCTATTATTGGCGGAGTAGTAGCTAAGTATTATGATTAGATTATGTATATAGTTGTGCTTTTGTTTTGATCTTTTGATCACGTGTATGCTTTATGCTGTATGTTTTTGGGTGTCAACCTCTTAATGACCGGCCTTGACACAAAACAATTTCTTCCATCTCCCTACTCACTTCTCTTCAACCTTCTTGACTCCCTTTGTCATATATCATCCAAATCCTAAAGGTCATAGCAATGGCCAACTCTATCCCCTCTTGCGGCTAATGAGTGGCACGATCGCTAGATTTGGGACATTTGAGTACCAACTTGAGCGAACTCGATTCATTCGACTTCCAAAAATAGCTGAATGGAGACTTGATGTACGTCAACAATATTCCCAATAGAACAAGATACCTTGCTAATCGCAAAAGTGGGCGCTTCTGTCCTTATGATACAGCCCTAGGTTGAGATTCGCGCAGTCTGTCGGGGCTCGACTTAAAAGCCACAAAGCGGTTTCTACCCATAGTATACCATCAAACAATTACTCTATCACTCTTTTACATCCCTGCTTCGAGGGTCGTTAGAACAAGCTGTGGGAATAAATACGGCGTCTTTTCCACTAGACTATAACAAAAACCTCGGTTCCTGTTTAGGGCCTAGGGAGGCCATATCCCAGTCTGACACAAGCATACCTGGAGCGATCGACATGCCAAGAGGTTGTACGAATAGTAGCATGGATCATGCACGATGCCACTGGAAACTTTTCACTTTCGTTCGTCAATCAGATTAGACTAGTTATGTGTCTTATCAAACATGTTATTTTAACCAGTTTTTATATATGTCTGGTTATCTCCTATGACCACTATGAGATGTTCTTGGCAGCTTGTCCTAGTAGCACGTCTCAGCTTACGACCAGTGCGCTATTCGACCGCGGGACGGTTTGCCCCTAAGATATTTTCACGAAATCACCCGATCGACTCTTTATAACCTAAGGGGCGATAGTGCTAGGATCTAGATTGTATTGAGTTGAAAAGATAGAGGATAATTGTATCTATATGGGATTGTCAGAACTTAGGGGTGAGACGGAGGATATCGTCGATGGAGAGTGAGCCTTATACTCGTAACAACCATCTCTTTTCCGCAGCTTGGGCTCAGACATAGCTAATGAACGTCGCAGAGCTGGTACGTAGAGTAATTATATGCAGAAACAAAACAATCACCGAATTCGATATATGACGATGAATGAAGTATTGTTGAGAGCTTGCCGGCCCGTTAGACTCTAGGAAGAGTAACACGTAATGCCCGAAGGGATAAGCTCGTTGCATCCCCATCATGATCAAGTGCGAATTCAAACTCTGGGAGACCAACGTTGCCATACACCATGGAATCTAGCAACATCCAGGAGAAGCAGGAGCCAACAATGGGCCCAGCATCTTCCGAGACACTAAGGCTATAAATAACAGCTAAGAAGGAGGTCCGCCCCGGAGTCTCAAGACCACTAGGCTGTAGACGAATGCTTATCGGAGAGCCATCTGTGACTCCTTGCAAAGTCATCAAAGTCTCGATCATGTCGACCGAGTTGCTCGTCCATGCTGAGACTACCAATCCAGCCCCTTCATCGGCCGTGAGGGTGATGGAGGAATTGGAGGAGCTGCTCATCAAGGCATATGTGCCCCCAAAGCGTTTAAGGGCTTGGTCTTTGGCTACTTCATCAAGCGCGGTAAGCATGATATCGGCAACCATCTCCCCGATTGTGGATGTCATTGCGTGTGAATTATCACCGGCTACTAAAACCGTGAAGCCGGTATTGTGATCTGGTGAAAGGGCGATAAAACTGGAGTACAGTCCGATATCCCCAGCCTTGGTGTATAGGTCGACCCGACGAGGTGTCAAAAATGTATAGATTTCCCAGGGGGCGCCCACGGAATGTTGTAGGGATGAGGTGTGTGTTACCGGCTTCAGCCACCTTCTTGTCACGGCAGGGTCAACAAGGGCGCTGGAAAGAACGGCACGGCTGAATATAGCCATATCCTTCGCGGAAGAGAAAATGTTTCCAGCACTAGTAATGTGTAAGCTATGGGTACATCAGCGGGCTTATTGGTGCTCACGGAGATTCATCGCCAAACTCATAATCAAACCAACTGAAAGTTTCATTGGAGGGAATCACCGCGAAGCTGGGATCGGGGACGTGAAGGTAAGATCGAGTCAAGTTGAGTGGTTTGATCAGGCGGTCCAATAATATGTCTTCATAGTCGGCTTTTGCGATTGACTCCAATATATATCCCAGAATTTGGTATCCTGCGTTCGAGTATATCGGTGTCTGTGAGGTCGACGTCAAGGGACCTAATAGACCATGTTAGGGACATATCTAGGTTCAGCGGAATCACAAACTCGTCGCTATGTACGGATGGCATATGGGAACGAATTTTCTCTAATTTATGGCACTCGGAGTCCGTGGTGGTCAGGTAAATTAATTTAAACCCCTGCTACTCCTGTAACGAAAAGACAAGAGCTATTGGATCGCGTTCGTTGTCCGAGCACTGATCGTCTGTTGAGTGATTGTCCATATTGGCTTCGCAAGGGCTCTTGGGCTACGCTTCCTAGTCATGTTAGGCAAAGTTAGGTCGGCCTGCCATTTGCAACGACTCATCCTTATATAAATTCGCTTCCAACTGGGAGCGGCAATGACCTGGAGGATGCAAACCCGTGGCCGGGATTATATTCAGGTTACCACATGTAGCTAGTCATACCACATCTCTTCTACTCGGAAATCTAATTGGACTTGTCATATTTCTCAGTCTCTCTGTCGTTAGTTAACTTCTTCAACAATCAACCTCACGTCAACGTAGACCTCTCCTAACAGTACTAAATCGAAGAAGCCAAATTTATTCTGATGTTATCACAGGGACAAGAGACGCCAAGCTCAGAGTACTCAATCAGTTGTTATACCTATGAGATCAGACTGTTCCGCCCTACTCAGATTTATAGATTCCTCTCTTTCCTGCTCCTCCTCATAAACTCTACTTAATATATAGCCTGGATTGTAAATACATACAGGTACTACTAAAGAATTCAAGAAATAAAAAATGGGGCTCAGCCGGGAATCGAACCCGGGACCTCATCTAAATTAGGTAATTTCTTGCGAAATCAGAGATTTCTCCCGAAAGATGAATTATCCCACTAAACCACTGAGCCGCATAGCGGATATTTTGACACTTCTGCCATCATCACACAAATCCTGGAATTACTAATGCAGACAACCACCCGTGGACCACAACTATATGCAGATCATCATACAATACTAACCTGTATAACCTTCCATGCTCCTAAATTCCCAATTTTAAGGATCTGTGCTTCCCTAAATCTATATGTGCTAGTGCCTAGTGTCTTAGAGCAGCCCCGCCTAACTACATATACCCATTTCAGCTTTTCACGTAAAGACAAGTGGAACTTGGTTGACAAAATATCCTACTATAAAACAGATGAGATTGCTTGATAATTTATAGTACCGCCCATCCCAGTAAGCCCAGAATATCTAAAGCGAACGTTTGCTCTTCCGAGCGCCGGGGAAGTCGTCTTGAAGCGCCTCCCATAGCGGCTTCCCCCAACTTGAAGATCTTGGAATGCCGGACAGGTAAAGTTGAGCAAAGGCACAGCGAGAATATTGGTGACAAACTCCAACGGCTTAGCTACGGCCGAGTATATCCCAGCAAGCGCGTTGGGGCTGGCAAACTTCAACACTTCAGTCACAAAGCACAGCAAATTATTATCTTTCAGTAAGCCAGCCAAGTTCAAGACACCACCTGTTAAATCACCTAGATCAACTCCGGCAAAGCTGTCTACTTCGCCCACATTGCCTCCGATGCTGTATTCAGATTATTGTTAGAAGCTGGTTGATATAGGGGATTTGACACGGGCTCTTACCTGCCAAGCTCCGGATATCTCGATATGAAGCCAATGATGTCCACGTTGAGTGAGATGAGTCCATAGTCCACAGGCGTCTTGTACCAGTTCTCGGGTATTCTTTCCCAGCCTTCGCGGTAAGTGAGATTATGTTCCGGACCGTAAATGCCATAGAAATTCCGGAGGTGGCTCTTAGCTAAGATGGCGCGTTAGCAAATATCGCATAAACCAGTCGCATTCAACGATCTATTGCATCAACTTACTCAGCGTTCCTTCTGGATTTTCAGTCGAGTGATTTCGAAACAGTCGACCTGAGAAAATATAACCGGCGTTGCGAGCAATGAGCCCAGTTACAGGTCCGTAGTAGAAATCCGGGTTTGTATGGATAGTTTGATCCATACGGATCTTTGCGCGTTCGGCCATGAGACTCATATCGTAAGTGCCGTCGGAAGACATATTATACCAAGTCATAAATTTGCTCATATTCAGTGTCCAGCTGTTGCCCGTAACGTAGAGATCGTCTCGCGTGTTGGAGGAGTCTGCTTCGATAAAGTTGTGTGAGCCAATCAGGCCCTGGGGTTCGCCTGCAGGTAATGTTAGCAGTCGATAAAGATCTGCAACCAAGTAAAGATGCTCTAACCGAGAACACCGCCCAAGTTATTTAGGAGGTTGTTAACGCCAGTATCGGGACCCCCGATGGAGAAACTGGGATCGAGAGACAGCACGTCCCCAGTCCATATAGTACCCATGATCGCGAGGATCGTAGCCAAGTCAACGCCCATGCCGTAGACTATAGAATAAATGTTAGAATATGTGGCATCAGTACTTCCATGGGGCAATTGTACCTTTGTTGATCGCGGCAACCACATTTACGAACTTTTTCACGTTTAGATTAGGAGTCGTCAGTTAGACAGGAATAACATACCGATACTACTCCGCTCCGGGATGTATCCATGGTTTGCGAGTGCATTGAGGCCGGGACAGGGGCCTCGCTGGTCACCGTTCTCGAAGTCCGGGGGCTGGAACGTATGTTCGCCGGTAACTAGAGTTATTTCGTTACAAATTGTGACAGTATAAGAGGAAGCTTGTGACGTACTATCAACAGGCGATTTCATCAAATTGAATAGAAACCGCTTTTCATGTTCCGTCTTCGGCTTGCCCTGGTCCTGGGTTTGTGCATATGGGCAAGGCTTGTGCATGTCTCGATGCCCTGAGTGGCCATCGTAGCCGTTTATCGACCCCGGGAAGGCCGATACTAGATTAATGAGCGAGAGTGGCCAGAGCAACAGCCCTGTAGTAAAGATGCGCATGATGAAGGAAGGTGTTGGTCGTCCACTAGAAATGCCAGTTTCCCCTTGGAATGGAAGGAATGATCATATAACAAGTGACTAACACTGTTTTTGAACAGTGGAGCCATGTCTCCCTGATATTCCGCGACAATTACGTGCCAAGGTAAATCTGCGAGTTGTACTCCGTACTCATGCTGATAAATGATGATCCTGTGAATGGCCGGACTTAGCGACGGAGTCCACTGTACAATACATTTAATTATGGCCCAAAGGAGTACATTGTGGAAACAACTCGGCAGCTTTACGGTAGTCATTACCACTGCGAATAGTACGGTACAAGCCCCTGATTTCTGTATGGTCATCCACTAACTATAATATCGCGGGTTGGGTTATAAATATATTTGTAAGTTGATGTTGATCAGACCTGAATTGGGAATGTTGGAAAGCTCTTGTGGCGGACACGAATCTTAGCGCACGCCTCGCCATGAAGTTAAATCTTAGTTCAATGACAGCGCCGATCGCAGTCCTGGGCCTTTAAGCTACAACGTACATATCTGTAAAAAGTGGGTGTAGATCTTAAACATTCAAAGCGATCTTTCCTTCAGGCGGCAGGACTGTAGACCCACTACGGATAATATTCGGATGTTCTCCATGGGGTCTAAGCGACAATCGACCAGAACGGCCATTTTCCCGGAGCCTGTCCCGCCTGTGGGTCTTTCTAGAGACTATTAGGGGAATAGAACCCAGAAACCCGTTCCGAGTGGGTGGAGTGCTCAAAAGCCGAAGTTAAACCAGCGACTTGTCAAGCTCTGTGGTTTGCTGGATGAACGCGAAAACGGTATTTGAGGACTCTAAAATGTCTATAGCTGGGGAAAGCCTCGTACAAGTGCAGATCCCAATTTTCCAAATCAGCCACCATTTCCACAAGAGCCAACTTCTCGATGGATCCCAAAAGACGTCCAAGGTTTCTATGAACTGAGTACCTGTGTCTTTTACATTGGGAACTTCTGAAGCTGTATGTGGTAGACTAATTCCAGACCACGATATGATGCTTGGCAGGGAGCTGAAATAGTGCCTGAAATGCTGAACAGCAGATCTGGCACCCAAACACCCGAATAGGTAAGTTTCCAGCGAGGACAAACGCGGCACTTCAACTTAAGGTGTTTATGCGCTAAAATTCCCAACGGAGAGGCAGAACAACTCTTATATCCTAGCCAAGGGATCGTCATGCATCTCATAAGGTTAGATTCTCCTGACTCGTCTGATCAAATTCGGCCCATGTCTTCTCTATCAGTCTCTTGATAGCGAATGCATCCTTCCCTGCAAACTTCACCATGCGTTTCTTCAGTACAGCAGCTCTCGCGGCCGCCTTGTTTGCAACAACTGTGATAGCAGGGATGGAACAGATGGCGGCCGTTTTACCCTCGTGTGCGGTAAGTAGTCCAGTGTTTCTGTCCCTCTTTTGGCGCGAACTCATAACACTAACCCTTCAAAGCTGGATTGTATGATGACTTCAGTGTCACAATCGTCCTGTGAGCCAACCGACCAGCGATGTCTATGCAAGGATGCACATTACACAGCTGTTCTCCAGAAATGCGTTGTTTCTAGTTGCACAATTCGAGAATCTCTGAGTGAGTTAATGGTTTCATCTTTCATCCCACTAGTCCTCACTGCTGACATACATAAGCTACAAAAAATGTTACAACATCGGCGTGCGGGGTCCCTATCCGGGACCACACAAAGATTGTTTCTTATGCCGGGGTTGGAGGTGGAATTGTAGCCCTTATCGCTTTCATTCTCCGGATGCTGGCTCGATTGAGCTGCTGTGGTGGTATTTTTGGCGCGGATGATTGGACAATGGTATTGACAATGGTATACACGGCCCTCCCCTTAGCTCGAACCGAATTGTCTTCTTACTGGAAATTGGCAGGTTTTACTCATTCCCCTTTCAGCACTATCGGTCGTCTGTATGGCTCCCTTTGCAGTTGGTTGAACGCACCTTCACTCGACTAACCGTTCTGCATAGTGGCCAATGCAGGTTTAGGAAAGGATATGTGGACCCTTCCTTTCGACAACATCACCCATATTCTTTATGTGAGTACTACTATAAGCCCTGGCTTCATACGGTTGCCAATGCGAATTTGTCTAATTACGCTAGGTCTATTTTTGGGATGAATTGCTCTATCTAAGCATTCTCCCGCTGACTAAGATATCAATTTGCTGTTTCTACCTTCGTATCTTCCCTAGTCGGGCGTTCCGGACAGCAACTTACGTGGCAATTGCACTCAATGTGTGCTACTTGGTTGCCTTTGTCTTGATTTCGGTGTTCCAGTGTCGACCTCTACCCGGAGCGTGGCACCGCTGGGATGGAGAGGAGAACTATAAGTGCAACCATATCAACGCACAAGGCTGGGCAGCAGCAGTTCTCAACATGATTCTTGATATATTTGTCATGGTGCTTCCACTCCGCCAGATATACCATTTAAACCTTTCAGTGAAACGAAAGTCATATGTGATATGCATGTTTAGCCTGGGTATTTTGTGCGCTTCCCCTCCCAGCCTATTCCTCAATTCCATTGACTAACTCATGGGCTCAGTGTCACCCTTGTCAGCATCCTTCGGCTCAATTCACTCATTCACTTTGCTTCCACCACTAACCTAACATGTGAGTATTCCTTCTCTTTCTCTTTCCTCTTTCGATGTGTGCAATTTTATTGACATCTCTAAGGGGATTACGTGACAGTTGGATATTGGAGTACCATCGAATGCCATGTTGGCGTTATATGTGCGTGTCTGCCTGCCATTAGATCCTTATTACGTCGTGTATCCCCCAGACTCTTTGGCGATACAGAGCCAGTCAAATCATCATATGCCATGAACTCTCATTCCCGTGGGAATGGATCTCGATCCGCCGGTATCCCTGCGCAGAGCAAGAGTGCTGGTCGGGAATTCTACCCACTTGATGAGGTGGATACCTCTGACGAAGCCCGGCTACATCACCCCTACCCGGTGTAGTTTAAGGGTCAAAATGGGAGTCTCTTCTTACAACATTGTACATGGGGAAATGTCTTTAATTTATTTCACTCCATTTCATTTCAATCTTTGTATTTATTTATTCACAGTTATTATATTACTGGGTCTCACAACAGAAATGATGTTTCTCTTTGATATATGTACTTTTTAAATATGTATTCAACATAATCAAGCATGATAAAACTCTAGTTATTCAGAAGTGTCATACCCCTTTTTCATTAAATTAAACCCATATAATATAAGAGAATATCTCAGCAGGTGTTAGTGAATTTGGAGCAAAGCAAGATAGCGTCGCTATATCCCCGGTTCTACAACCACAATAAGGGGGTTTAGCCAGACATGGAGTAATTCTTTACATGTTTTGTAACCGAAGAGTGGAGCTATTCCCAGCTGGCTAGGCCTAAGTCTCATATCCAGTACTCCGTATAGCCGTGCCAAGCGCCCAACACCAGGGGACCTGGTGTTGGTGCGACCCAGCAGATACCCATTTTTCACCAGATACCTAATCTACAATTTTATATATCTTTTGTATGGCTTACCCATACAAAAGGTACTTAGATACCCCGTAAACATAACATGTATTTTCTCAGCACTCGAACTAGTAAGGGAAGATATAGGAAGATATATATAATATAAAGGAGTCTATATTATTTAACCAAACTTTGGTAAGGAATATTAAGTATACTAAAATAAAGAAAGTACCTAACTAGTTATTTCTACTATATAACTAACCTTCATATAGTGTCATTTTAAAATTATTATTCTTCTTTTATATTAGATGCTAAGAATTTACACTACCATTAAACTAATTAAGCTAGACTTTTAATATATATTCGTATACTTTCTATTACTTTAGCTAGTTCGAGTGCTGAGAAAATACATGTTACAACATATGTTTACGGGCTGTCTAGGTACCCTTTATATTGGTAAGTCATACAAAAGATACATAAAATTGTAGATTGGGTATCTGCTGGGGCGCACCAACAACCAGAACGGTTGTTGGGCGGCTAAATATCAGATCAATTTACTCCGTAGTTTCCCCGATAAAGTGGCTTGGAAGTATGTACTCCGTATGCCCCCCCGAAAGTCTAAACTAGGGGGCGTAGCTTCTCCGTCAGACTGGTGGCTGTTAGGCGATCGGCATGTTAAACGGGATGGAGAAGACGCTAGGAGATCGGCACGAATAGAGAAGATTTAGAACATATTGATTGGCCAGTCAGTCCCACAAGCCAAAGGTATCAACGTATATCACTTTGCCAAGACACGGCTTCGTTCAGACCTAGTTCAATACGAGCGAGAGCCATTCCTAAGTACGGAGTACGACATACGGAGTATAGGATAGTCTATTACCAGGGCTGCATTGGCATCGTGTCGCGGGATAGATATCCATGCATGATACAGGCTAATTTGGAAAGTGGAAGCTTATGTCGATCACTTTTGTAACTAAGGAAAATGAAGGAAAGTACTCAGTAGGACGGCCAACGGTCGTATGGTGGGTGCTTGCGGTGCTTTTGCTTCTATGGTGACCTTATAATAGGACCAGGAGAAGGGGGCTGTGGCCATTGATACATCCCAAATCGCAGTTTTTTTTGGTTTGCTTGGAGTTTCCTTTTGGTGCCATCTTTGTTTTGGAGTACGCCTTTGTCTTTTCTCGTTTGTCATGCGCCTTCCTGCAGTACTTGGACTACTGTCCACCCTTTCGGTTGTCTTGGCTTCGTAGGTGCACCTTCAGTCATTGCTCATTCATACCTTCATGATACAAAAGACTAACGCCATAACACAGTGATCATGGGCCAAACCATCGATATCATGACATGCACAAGGGGTCTTCGGAAAGCGAGAGTTTCACCACGGAGTATGATTATGTCATTGTTGGCTCTGGCGCTGGAGGTGGCCCTGTAGCGGCACGATTGGCTATTGCAGGATACAAGGTGCTTCTTCTAGAAGCAGGAGATGACCAGGGGAATGCGACCCAGCAAATTGTCCCCGCGCTGCAACTTCAGTCCACTGAATACGAACCGATGAGGTGGGATTATTTCGTGAACCATTACTCGAACTTGACTCGTCAAAAAGAAGACAGCAAGATGACTTACCGAACACCTGCCGGTGACCTCCATGTTGGAAGCAATGGCCCAAATGGCTCCGAGCCTCTGGGGATTCTATACCCTCGAGCAGGTACTTTGGGTGGATGCTCTGCTCACAATGCCATGATGTACGCCATATATTCTCCTTGGTTTCTGCCAGACGTGGTTATCCTATGCTGACCAGTACCTTAATAGCACCATCTACCCGTACGAAAATGACTGGGAGCAACTGGCCAGTCTCACCGGCAATGCGTCATGGTCTGCCTCAAATATGCGACAATACTTCCACAGACTGGAGCGCAACCGATATCTTCCCAGCAGCTTACTGGGCCACGGATTCGACGGATGGCTTACAACGAGTCTTACAGACTTGCGTCTCGTCATTGAAGACCAAAAGCTTCTGTCCTTGATCCTAGCCGGTGCCACCGCCGCGGGCCAAACACTGTTGGGTAAATTGATCACCACGGTCACGGGCCTTGCAGGAGTCTTACTACGTGATCTGAACAACCCCCTTCCCTCGCGCGACTACGACGAGGGTCCATACCAAGTACCGCTCGCGGTGGATGTTCCCGAGTACAAGCGTACAGGCCCTCGAGAATTCCTCATGAAGACAGTCAGCGCTGTGAACTCCGATGGTTCGCGAAAATACCACCTTGATATCCAGTTGAACACTCTCGTAACCAAACTTCGGTTCGACACCACCGGAGCTAAGCCACGAGCTACCGGGGTTGACTATCTTCAAGGGCAGAGTCTATATCGTGCAGACCCCCGGGCTTCCCAGACATCGTCTAATGGGACACCGGGTAGTGTTAGCGTTGCTCGTGAAGTGATCCTGTCTGCAGGCTCGTTCAACACTCCACAGCTGCTGAAACTGAGTGGAATTGGTCCAAAGGAGGAGTTGTCCAAGCTTGGAATCTCAACTTTAGTAGACCTCCCCGGTGTCGGTCGCAATCTTCAGGACCGATATGAGACGGGCGTAGTGGGCAAGTCACCTACCGACTTCGTCCTCACATCCAAATGTACCTTTTTGTATTCTCTTCCCGACCCATGTCTGGAACAATATGAGAACAATCCCCTCTTCAAAGGCACATATACCACGAATGGAATTGCCATCGCCATTGTTCGCAAGTCATCCGTCGCAGAGGATGAGCCCGACCTATTGATTTCAGGAGCACCCGCCAACTTCCCCGGCTATTACCCTAACTACTCCTACGAAGGTCTCAAAGATGCACAACATTGGACCTGGATCACGTTAAAGTCTCGGTCCCGCAACAATGCTGGCACGGTTGAGCTCCGATCTACTGACCCCCGTGATACACCCCTTATCAACTTCCACTCGTTCGATACCGGAGTGACCACGGATGGCGCAGATGATAAGGACCTTCAGGCTTCATACGAAGCAATGCAATTCTCCCGCACAATCTTCGATGACCTTATTCCCCTCGATGGCGGATTTGAAGAGGTCTGGCCGGGGCCCAATGTCACTACCGAGAGTGAGATGAAAGACTTCATTAAGCAAGAGGCATGGGGCCACCATGCCTGCTGTACTGCTGCTATTGGAGAGGATGGGGATCCTCAGGCTGTGCTGGATGCTGACTTCCGTGTTCGTGGGGTTGACGGGCTGCGTGTTGTGGATGCTTCGGTCTTTCCCAAAATTCCGGGGTACTATATCGCCCTACCTATTTATATGATCAGCGAGAAGGCTGCTGAGGTTATCATTGCCGATGCTGTATGACATTGGTACTGGTACCTCGTTTGCAAACTTCATGGCTTTTTCCTTTTTCTTTCTCTTTTTGGCTGTCACAAATGTGTACTATGTAATTTTCTAGTATTGTATGGTTCCATTAGTGGCAATTACTAATTTTCTGCGTGGCAGAAACCCCGTTGTCAAAACTGGCCTAAATCGGCTGCCGTAGGCGGTGAACCCTTACCGCACCTCCTAACCTTGGAAGGTTGGAAATGTGTATGTAATGTGTATGTAATATATAGGAGGTAATATTGAGGGATACTAAGCCTAATGAGGTAGGCTTGGCGCTCTTAACTATAGAATATCTGGGATGATGTTTTCTTTTTAGTTACGGAGGTTTATAAATAACGGTGTTAATGAGTATCTCCAAGGTTTATTCCGTGGTCCGCTCTGTAGTATCAGTGACAGCTTCACTCTCACGTCTACTTTGTTGAACTAGCTACAGTGACTGTTCATAAGTTTTAACACCCCCTTTAGCCCCACCCATATACCGCCTTCCCTAATCGTCTATACCGCCTATATGAAATGAACTGGTAGACCTCAACTCTCTTGAGTTCATGTCATATATCTGGATATTTTGGTTTATTGTCCTAAAATGATATCTAGTCTTTTGTAAACAATCATTAAAAGCCAGAGATTTTGATTTATAATGGTATTGAAGAAAATCTTCTGACCGGCAGAATATTATATAATCACAGTGGTGTGGGGCAGGGGTGTTAACGCTTTTGAACAGTCACTGTAACTATTTCACATGCGAGCCGGCCACCTCAAACACCATAGTAAATGCGATAAATTATAACGTGATATCTTAACAACGGTGGTCTATATAATGCTTTACTTATAGCTTAATGCTTCTTAGATGATATATAGCCTATTTGCGGAATTTTAGGAGTATATACGACTTGGTGACTGAGATATATATGTTTGTAGCTTTTTACGTCGTAATTTTCGGTAATTTTTGAAATGATGATAATATAACCTTTTACGCTCTTTGAAATTGATATATGCTGCTAATAAGTCTTATCGACGACTATCGACAAATAAAGAGCTAAAATAAAAACATGGTTGTTGAGATATCACGTTATAATTTATCGCATTTACTATGGTGTTTTGAGGTGGCCGGCTCGCTTGTGTGGCCGGCTCGCATGTGAAATACGTTACAGAGCAAGCTTGGCTACTTTGGCTGTCAAGATGTCGACAGACAGGACAATCATACCCTAAAGCATCGGGGGAGACGGCAGAGAGCCCGGTGCTGAAGCCTGAGACCCCCGAATTTCGCTCTTTCTGTCCTCTAGACGTACAGCCAAGCACACGCATAATAGCGCTGTGCGGTCCAAACGATTGGCAGGACAACGCCTCTCCCGAAAATGACGGCTGGTTCTTCTCGGACTTCTTCCTCTTTCACTATCTTCTACAGGACACTCGTAAGCGGAACTACTGACATCCTTGCTATTTTTCACATGTTGACAATGTGAATAGATACTTTCAGTTCGTCCAATCAGCTGTGGTTTACCTGCGTCGACCCAAAAACACAATTATCAAAGTACAAAGAATATGTCCATGGTAGTACAAGCGGCGACCGCAGAGTTGTCCTCGACGAAACGTTTTTGGATGGAATCGAAGCCAGCAAGAATCTTCGCGTTATCCCCCCCAAAGATCTACTAGAGCGATTCCTGGCAATCCTAAGGTCGGAAACTCAAATTGCCGCGAGGGAAAATCAGCCTGTTCTTGTTCTCATTTTCGGACACGGCGGGTTTGGGGTCGCTATTGGTGGCCTAGGGGCGACTAAATATGCCATTCGACACATAACTCTCTCATTGGTTATTACCTCACCGTCTAATTTATTACTGTTTTATTTGTATACTATACACTTTATAGATTCAATTCAGATTCAATTCAGATTCAATTCAGATTCAATTCAGATTCAATTCAGATTCAATTCAGATTCAATTCAGATTCAATTCAGATTCAATTCAGATTCAATTCAGATTCAATTCAGATTCAATTCAGATTCAATTCAGATTCAATTCAGATTCAATTCAGATTCAATTCAGATTCAATTCAGATTCAATTCAGATTCAATTCAGATTCAATTCAGATTCAATTCAGATTCAATTTAGATTCACTTCAGATTCACCTCAGATTCACTTCAGATTTATTTCAGATTCAGTTAGTAAGATAGTAAGATAGTACCTAGGTAAGAAATCAAGACTTAAGACTTAGGAGTATAAAGATCCCGGTGTTAAAAATTTAATATCGTATTTATTGAACAATCTCCTATACATGTATATAATATATGTTTGCTACAGACTAAGCCCTATTTCTTCGTTATTTACTATTGTTAGCTTGTTTACTATAATCGAGCAGAGTTTAGATGGTTTTAGCAGGGTATATAACCCCCTACACTTCTAGTTTAATCAATTAATAATTCTTCCTCTGCTTTCTCCCCATATAGTAACAGGTTGCTCAGCAGTATTCATTTATAAAAATACTATATAAAGTAACTATAGATTCAACAATGGTACTTGTGAAGTGAGAGTGGATCTAAATTATTGCCTGACAATATAAACCAACGAGAGAGTTATGTGTCGGGTGGCATACTTAGTCGCCCGTAGTGGCCGAGGCTCGCCTGAAAATGCCCCAAGGCTGACTCGAGAGAAATTCAACTCTGCAATCAGAACAGACGTGAACGTTAGCCTGGTCATAACCCCCCCTGCCCGTCCACAAGACTGGCTGGATGCCCATGCCCTGCTCATTTCTTTGTAACTGACAGCGGTCATGCCTGAGATGTTCAGCTTTTTGCGGGCCACAACGGCGATCCGACCATTGGCTTGAGAATCCAGCCGCCAGAATAACACGACGTCGATTTATGTTCAGGATGCAGATGAGCTGACCCCTGTGTCCAAAGTTGAGCTGACCGGTAGCCCCACCTAGTCACGTGATTTGTTTTATCTTATCTATACCGGTCAGCTCAATACCCCTAATCTATAATTAAAACATTATAATACTGACTTCTTAACCAATCAAACTCTTTATATACTATCTATCAACCTTACGACCCTATACTAGTATTATATCATTAATTTATTTAAAACCTATTAAATACTTCGTTATAATGTTAGTTAAGGCTTCTAAAGTATAGAAGCGGTATATAGAGGTAGACCTTAATAACCTAGAGCTCCCCCTATCGAATAGAACGTAAGACTAAACTAAGGGAAAAAATCTATTATAAATATATTATATATATTAATAACTACTACTAGATTAATATATAAGACCTAATATATTATAACGAAGCTTACTACCGAGCTAACGGCTATCGCGTCCGGGTATTTTACTTTAATCTTAAAACTATATAGTATAATTTATTATTAATATATTTCTCTAGACTAAGTTTACCCTTTTTACGAACCTAAAGACCTATTATAAGAATAAGTATCCTAAGGTCTTTAGTAATTTCGCCTTCTTATTAATTAGTAGACTAAAAAGGGAGGTAGTATCTAAGTCGATTAGTTAGTTTTAATCTATTATTAATCTATTAATATTAATATCTTATAAACTAGTTTAAAGAAGTTATAATAGTATATAACTATTATATAGCTATATATATCCTAGTAGCTACTAAACTATCTATACCGACTAAGATAATTAAAAGAGTTATATTAGTAAGTTTAAATTATTAATAATATATTATTATTATTCTAATCTTTTATTTAGACTAATATAATCGCTATAATAACTATTATTAATACCGACTACCTAAAGATCTATATATTATACGCCGCGTATAAATATAACGACTAAGCTAAAGATATATATAAAAGAATAAGATATTATAAAGTTATTACTAATATATTATAAGTATATAGTAAATTCGACTATTAAGCTAAATACGATCTATTCGACTATTTTATCTTAGAGGAAGAATTAGAGAAGTAGAGAGAAGACTTCTAAATATAGATATATATTATTAATCTTTTTTTAATAAAGTAATATAATCTATATATAATTTATAATATCTTAATAATAAGTTCTTAATATATTCTTTAATTATAATAAATCTTAAGAGGATATAAAAAAATAATATATTAATAATATATTATTAATATATTATATTACTAAATAACTTTATATCGCTTTCTTTTATAGCTAGGATCTAGGTTACTTCTAAGATCTAAATTAGACTCGCTTTTAATATTAAAATAAGGCTTATTTTTAATATTAAAATTAAACTTACTTTTAATATTAAAATAAGACTTACTTTTAATATTAAAATAAGGCTTACTTTTAAAGGTAGAATTTAATAGATTTTTATAGATTATTAATATATTATCTATTTTAATATCTAAATTAAGCCTATTTTTAACGTCGAAATAAGGCTTTAATTAATAATTACTACTCTTTATTATTATTAACTACTTATTAACTCTCGAAAATTACTTTCGTCTCTACTTTTTATTATCTAAATTATCTTATTATCTTACTATCTTACTATCTTACTATCTTAATATTTATTTACCTCGCCTCTATAATATCGATTAAAAACTTAGAGGTATACTAAAAATATCTAGATATCGACTAAGACGCTCTCTAGCTATCTAATATTAATATTAATATAAATTAAATTAATCTATTATAAAGGTATTATATAATACTAATATCTTCTACTCTAGGTTCTTAGTTAATACCTACTCTACTATAATAAGATATATTACTATATAATAGGCTATAATATAACGGTAAGTAAATTAATTATAAATTAATTATTTATAGATATATCTACCTAGATAAAGTATATAAATTATTATTAATATATTTCTCTAGACTAAGTTTACTTATTTTACTAATCTAAAGATATATTATAAGAATAAGTACCTAGTAATCTTTAAGACCCTTATTTTTACTACTATCGGCCGTCTATTAGATAAGGCTATATAAAAATCTTTTAGTATAGTATTATTAATATATTAAAGCTTAGGTTAATCTTA